CCCTCGCGATAACGAGTGCTGTAGTTCTTAAAGTCGACCTCGCCCTTGGCGGGCCAGGCAACAGGAGGTCGCCGGCTGGGGATAATCTCAGGAGCTTCGCTAGGCAGCCGCGCGTACTCGAGTACTCGCTCGACAGACACAATGTTGGTTTCGACCTCGACGGTCTGGCGGACAATCCAGTTGAGGGAGGTTGTAATCTGCAGAGCATAGGACATGGCCAGACCAATCTGACCGGCACTGAGACCGCTGTTGCTGGCGACAGAGATGATGCCAAAGCCGGCGGCCGCAAGAATGACGATGGCTCCGATGAACTCGAGCCGAACGGCAAGCCATCGGTTTGCGCTGATGGACGGGAAATAAGCACGAAGGTTGGCATCAATTCTCCACTCGTTTTCAAGCTGAAATCTGTCTTGCTGGCGATAGGCGCGGATAGTGGCGACGCCTCCAAGCGATTCCTGGAAGTGAGCATAGATGGGACTGCGGCTGACACTGTCCAAACGCTTCAGCTCACGGGATGTTCGAAGGTAGTAGCGCTGGATCCAGTAGTATGCCAGGGCAATGGGGATAATGAGAAAGCCGAAAGCAGGCACGGTCACGGCGATGATACCCAGGGTGAAGCCCGACTTGCCCACATTGACGAAGAGCATATTGAAAGTACGGGCCAACACTTCATCGACACGGTAAATGTCGCTGGAGAATCGGTTCAGAATCCGGCCAGCCGGGGTGGTGTCGAAGAAAGACATGGGAGACCTGAAAATGGCATTGGCCATTCGCTCGTGGAGCTTGCGAGAGGCTTCAATGGAGCAAAAGATCCACAGGATGAGCGTTTGAATGACTGTCAAGAGCGAGGAACCGATACCAAAAGCAAAGTAGATGCCAATGAATTTTCCAATGTCGTAGTTGGCACCCGCTTTCTGGTTCTGATCAGCCCATTCTTTCAGCCAGAAGGAACCGCCGATGTTGGCCGTCTGGGCCGCGAGCAGCGCAATCATGTAAATGGCCACAGCAAAGAGGTTGTTCTCCTTGGCATACTCGCCGTAAACCGACCACTTGACTTTGCCCTGCTCGACGTGCTCCTTAGCTTGCTTCGTCCTGGAGGAGCTGGCGACTTCTTCATCCGTAAGCTTGCCTCGAGGACCCTTGAAACTGGCCGTGCTAGCACGTCGCAGAGTTGCCATGCTGCTTGATCTGGGCTTGTCAGCTACGGAGGACCCAATCTTAATGGGGGCCATTTCAGGCACTTGTTCCTGTGCTTCTTCCAGCTCTTCCTTATCCTGAGAGCTAAGGGGCTCAATAACGGTGGAGGTTTCGCTGGATTCCCCGGAAGAGCTGCTGCTGGAGGCGTTGCTAGAGTCGTGGCCTGCAGTTCTCAAGAGATCGGCAACAAGTCCCTTTCTAGCGACAAGCTGCTCATAAGTACCTCTCTCGACAATCTCTCCATCTTTGAGAAGGGTGATGTAGCTGGCTTGCTTCAGGACAGAAATAGCGTTTGTAGCGAGAATACGGGTCTTGGTGGAAAGCAAACCACGGGGCCCAAGGACGTTTTCAATGATGTGTCGACCAACGTGAGAATCCACAGCTGACAGAACGTCATCAAGGAGATAAATGTCGGCTCTAGCATAGACAGCACGGGCCAGCGAAACACGAGCCTTTTGGCCACCGCTAAGAGAGATACCTCGCTCGCCCACAACGGTCTCATCACCGTCGGGGAGCTGAGCGAAGTCGTCAACGAGAGCACAGGCCTTGACTGTCTTTTCATAGAAGTCGGCATCCCATTTGTATCCAAACACAATGTTTTCTTTAACCGTAGCGTTGAGGATCCAGCATTGCTGGGAAGCATATGCAACAGAGCCGCGAACCTCGGCAGAGCCTTCCCTTTTGAAGAGACTACCCAGAATGCTTTGCAGGAAAGATGACTTACCAGCTCCAACCCTTCCGACAACGCATGACAGCTCTCCCTTGTAGGCAGTGAAGTTGATATCTGTCAGCGCGTTCTTATCCTCGTGTCGGTTCCAAGAGAAGGTGCCGTCTCGGATGAGGACGGTCTCTTCTCCCATCTCCTGAGGAGCTGGTCCAATAGTGACAGCATCTCCCTGCAGCTCCTCGGCTGTCAGGAACGCGGTCAGACGGCCAACGGCAACTGAGGCTTCTACAATAGAAGTAAGGACCATAGGGAGCACAGCAAGGGGGAAAGTCAAGAGGTTGAAGAGGGCAAGAGCAGGGAAAACGATGTCCGTGGTCAGAGGGCGGTCTTGGGTGAGGACGAAAACGGTAAAGGTAGAGCATGAGACAAAGAAGGGCGCCGTATTCCAGGTGAAGTTGGCCACAGCCTGGGTCGCGCCAATTCTCCGCAGGTTCTTCAGTTCTTGCTCGTTTCGGACAAAGTTCAATTTGGCCATGAACGCCGAGCCCCAGGCATAAAGCTTGATGCTCTTCATATTGTTGATGATTTCGTTAATCAGTCGGCTTCTTGCGTCCTTGTTCTTCATCTGATCTTTCTGCAAGTTTCTCATCATACGAGCGACAAGGCCTTGCACGGGCATCATGAAAACCATGACGACAATACCGGCCATCATGGACCATCCGACCAAGTTGTAGAGGGAAACCATGCAGATGATAATCTGGAAAGGCGCGGACCAGGCCTGCTGGGCGAATTGAGTAAGATCTTGGAGGCGCTGGGCGTCAACGGCCATGTAGTTGACAATGTCACCAGTAGTCTTGGTCGATCGTCCCTCATTGGAAAGCCGCAACGACTTTCGGTATATGGTCGAAGCCAAACCACCCTTGATGCGCATTCCAGTAACGAAAGCCAATTGGAAGTATTGGTGAATCATGGTGGTCTGGAAGACGGCGCAGGCAAACATGGCGAAGGCAATTGTAGCGCCCTGGACGATGGGCTGGGGAGTCCCCTCAGAGCTTTTCGACTCAATGTCGTAGGAAGCGACAAAGGTAATCAGAAGGCGGAGAAGCTGAGGTTGGATGTATTGCGCAATGTCGTTTCCAACCTTGAAGAAAGCGGCCGTGATATAAGGGCCTCCGTAAGCTCGGAACAGGGCTAGCCACAACGACGGCGAGTTGGGACGTCGTTTGAGCTCGTGTTGCCATGCTTCTTCGAGCGCCTCTCCCGTCCTCTTAGTTTGATCAGCTCGAGTCAAGCCCCAGAGATCGTTCTCGGTCAAGAAAACTTTGTAACCACGCCTCATCAATGGCGTCATCCATGAGAAAGTGAGCTTGGAGAAGACGGTGGCGTATTCCTCAGGACACTCCTCTTCTTCCAAGATGGCTTCATAGCCGCTGGGGTTTGAGCGAGGCCACAGCCACTCGACTAGAAACTCAACCACGCTAAGGCCAACGCCGACGGAGTAGGTAATAAAGTAGGGGAGGTTCTTGGTGTAAAGCTGCTGTGAAATCAACGAGCGCTCCTTCACGGCGAAGGAAATGAGCAGCAGTAGCCAGTAGAACAAAACGACTCCATTGGCGTTTCTCAACCGCGAATGCTCCAACCATTGGACCGTGAAGATGACGAACAGGGAAAGGATGAGGAGAACAGAAGTCCAGGCACGGAAATCACCGAACCAGGCACTTCCGTAGCTGACTATTTGGAAAGCAAACTGAACGGCAACATTGGCGATGATGGCGGCTAGCAAAGTCTAGTTTAACAATTAGCATGTGAGCTGTCCCATGAGATTCAAGAGGGATAGAAATCCCACGTGCGCGGCGCACCTGTTTAATCCAAAAATGCGTGTTCTTGGAGGTTGTGTATTCCTGCTGCTTCTTCTTCTTCAGCCACCAGATGGCAGCGGCGCCAAAGAGGACGCCATAGGCGGCAACAGAGGCAATCCACACATCGACGAAGCAAGGCGTAAAGTCCCACCGGTACGGGCTCAAGGGGCCCCAGCCCTCTTGATTGCCGCAGAAGCGCTTGCAAGAGGCGGACGTGGCGAGATAGTGGCTTCCCAGCTCCTGTAACGGCCGGTAGCCGGTGAACGAGCCCGAGTGCAGCAGCACCTTTTGCTCGTCGTACGGATCCATGATTGCGATCCAACTCTTTCAGACTAGAGGATCAGGTCGTTACCGCATGCTCGTCGGTCGGTCGGTCGGATCGAATCGAGGCTCGGACGCAGCGATGAAGTCGGAGCTGCGGTTGTGTTTTATCGGTCAGTGACGCAAGGGGCTTCTGGGGGCAAAAAAAACTGCCAATGCGAGACCCGAGACGCTGCAGCGATTGAAAGTCTGCCGACTCGCAGCAAGGCGAATGTGATGGAGGATTGAAGTGCAAGGCGGCGCTCAAGAAGAAGAAGAAAAAGGACAAAGAAAAAATAGGCAGCCCGAGCGACCGAAGAGTGACGGAAACGATGGATTGGTTGTGGGTACCTCCAAATGTACGGACGAGCTGGTACCTTGCGCCGAACTCGTGGACAGTAGCACAGAAGCGCGATGCTTTGTCAGCTCGAGGAACCGCCAAAGGGGCCACGATTCTCCACTGGCCCCCCAAGTGGCAGCTGGCGAATGGGAAGCTGCTGATTGCCTTACGGAGCACATGGTGATGGAGTCAGCAGAGCTAGTCCGGCTATTAAATCCGGAGTTGACGGTGCAAGTCGGTGGAAGAGGTTGCCCAAATCACTAATCCCCGGCCAAAGGGTGTGTGCCCTCATTCGAGCATATCCGACGACCGGATGTCGAGCGGGGAGGGGCTACCCTGGAGCGCGATCGGGGTTTTATATTTTTATATTCCATTTCCTGCTTGATGCCAATGCTGTATACGTGATATGGAAATGGGAACACATGTCAGGCGTCACAAGTCTTGATGGGTCTGTGCTAATGGAGTAGCCTGACAGAAGTGCTACCTGTATTACGACGTAAAGAGGTCTACGTATGTCAGGTAAGGTTGTCTACGCCACCACCAGCTGGTTGCACAAGAACACGACGTTGCTCTATTCTTTTCTGGGCTACTCTACTCGTCCACCTACCACTGGAAACAGCTGGCTTACCTAGCTTAGCTAAAGAGTCCGGAGAAACTCAACAACCCTCCCCGCCAGCCATTCCCGAGCCTCCTCCTGCAAGACTGTGTGACCCGTCCCCGGTATGAGCCCAGACAATGGGCTGACGAATGAGCTTGCCGCCTGGTACTTCTTGTTCAACGCCGCCTGGTCGACTCTGGCTGGAACAAACTCATCCTTTTCCGAGTGCAACACGAGCACAGGCTTGTTGAACCGGCCCCAAAAATTCCTGACTGTTTGGTCGTCCAGGTCGGAGGAAAAGTAATCATCGGCCCCCCTGTGACGGTTAACCAACGTGTCTGTGTTGCCCGACGCAAGTTTCAGGGAGCAAGCCCCAACTTACCCTTTGGAAAAGAGGTCGTGGAACCTGTTTGCTGAAATCGGTGCGTCCAGCATGGCAATCGAATACTCATTAGGCAGACAGTCCGCCCCCTTTCCCTCAGCAATCATCTTGTTGGCATAGTCGAGCTTGGCTTGGTAATCCGGAAGAAAGGTATCCAGAGACTCCCTGTCCGAAACAGGTGCTTGCAGAATGAAGCCATCCACGGGGCTGTTGGAATGCTTGGCGTAGTTTGTATATTCCATACAATCCTGGAAAACGTCAGCTTATCGTTGATATCTAGCTGCCCCCAGAGAGTAGCGGAGAGATGAGAGAATACCTGGCACCCGGTTGAATGGCCAAACAGAATAATCTTTTCCCGGCCAATGGAGCGAAGATACTTGACAAGTGCGGAGATGTCTTGGACATCGTCTGCTAGGCTTGAGGTTCCGAATCCGTCAAAGGCGCTCCTTAGCCGTGTTTCAAAGACGGAGAAGTTCAACTCGGGCGTCTTTTCCAACCGCCGAGCAATAGTTCGAACATACGGCGTCGTATGAGGGCCATCTTTCAGACCTCCAATGAAGACGAGGGCGTTCTTGGCGGCCGTGTTACCCAGCTCGTAGGCACAGGTGCCCCTGACCGGGGACCGGTACGGGTGAGCCAGGAGAGGAAAAGGGCCTGAAGAATCCATGTCGAGTTCTGTTTGATTGTAGCTGTTGTGTATTTGGAGGCAAAAGGCACTACTGGCATGCTAAGGCCAAGCTTCAGCGTATCATGATGCATGCATGGATGTTTTAATGAGGGGTAGGAAATGCATGTTGCAATTACGTAGGGGCAACTACAAGGTACACGCTGGGTAGCATCAGCTCTGCCGTTGTGAGATTGAGCACCTACAACAACTACCTGGAGGATTCTAGGCTGGCGATAGAGGGTAATGCACAGTGCCAGCGTCGAATTAGTGGCTGCGGCTAGCCAAGTATTCTCCGCTTGGTTGTCGCTAAAATCGAGGTCGCCAAGGGTTCAGCCGACGTCCATCTAGACGATAAATACAGTGCGTAACATAGTTCGGACTGTCATCCAAACTTGACTAATATTCACATGGATAGCATCGTCAACTTCTTTCCTGGCCTCATTGAAAGCAGCTCTTGATATATGTGAGACAGAACCACCACCGACCCAACCGAATTCTTTACATTTTCAACCAGAGTCTCTTCTATACATCACCTCATCAGCGCTCGGACAGCGATACAAGGGACCATGTGCGGGTAGCTCTTCGAAAAGCTTGATTGTTTTAGTGGGCCATGGAAACAACTCCGGCCGCCAAAGAACGAAACGAATTGTTTCAAAAGGCGAGTCATTTCAAGTCTCTCTCTCGATGGACATTACCGCGTCTAACATCATGTAGCTCAAGCCATTCTGCGTTAAAGTCAGCCAGCTGGCGATCCGGGAGTCGGGGGACCCAAAGACTCACCGGGAAGTTCTGGGGCTTGTCAATCAGATTCTTGCCATCTTGAACGAGCAAATCTGCAAGAGTCCAACGGCTCTCGACGAAAAGCTGGCAGAATATGTATTTTTCCCACTCCATCACATCTTTCGCCAGCTAGAACGATATCCCATGAACGTGGTGGAAGATTGCGTTAAATGTCTAAGCATCCTCATCGTTCACGGGTGGAAGTCTAGAATATCAGGCCAGCTGGTACAACAGATTTTCAGCTTTCTCATATTCATCATCGATGGCGTTCCGGGATCCCCCAAGAGAGACATCCCCGAAGAGACGGTTCTCGAGGCGTTCCGGGCCGAAACCGCGCTGCTCACTACCGCAGCATCGTCGGCTACGGCGGCGGCGGGCCTCTCCCAATCAGAGTCCATGCCAGCGCTGGGCCATGGGATTACAGTCATGCTGGACGGAGTTTCGGAGGGTGCAAATGCAGAGGTTCAGCGCGAGGCACTGAGGACATTGGAAGCCGTCTATGGAGCTATCAAGGAGCATGCTGCGCTGGCCAGTTTTCTCCCAGGAACAATCTCATCATTTGCAACGGTGTTATCGAAACCTTCTCGATATAAGAAGCTGGTAATAGCAAAATGTCTGGAGACTGTGCGAGTGGTCCTAACACGGGTGCTGTCCGACCTGCGGACGAGATCCATTATCGCCAAAGAAGCCGAAAGTCAGAGCGATGCCGGCAAGTCCAAAGTTCTCAGCCCGGCATGGCTAAAGGCTACCGTGGCCCAGGTCCAGGTGGCTCTGTCGGTGATGATGAGGCTACGGACGCATGAAGCGCCTGAAGTCCGTGAGGCTCTGGGGCGACTGTGCATAACTTTACTGGACGAATGCCATACTACCCTATCAAATTGCACGACCATCCTCGTCGAGACATCAGTGATTCTTGACCAAGGATCTGACCAAGACTCCATGACCGAAACGAGCCTGGGATACCTGGTAAATATATATCCCGAACTGGGCGAATGCATCAAATCAACAGTCTACAACTGGATGTCGAGCCTTCCTCGCCTAGTGCAGGCAAGTGATGAGAAGATCAAAGAGCAAGCAGTCTATAATCTGACCAAGGGAATTGGGATGTTGCGAAGTCTAAGAATCGAGTCGTCAACGCTCGATGATTCAATTAGCAGTACTTTGAGAGAGAGCATAATGGCAATCGTCAGTACGTCAAAAACACATCAGACCAATACCAACAGCCCTGTACTACTGCTCGATGACGGGTCTTCGGCTTCGGTCACGACAAGTGAACCGCAATTCCAGCCAGTTCTATTAGGCCACGAAGGGCAGAGAAGGCTAAAGAGCGAGATTTCAAGTCTCGTATGGACTGTTGGCTCCATATCCCAGCATGCCGCAATCGCGGCGAACATGCTAGATTGTGTTCGAGAATCAACATCTCTCAATCAGCTGACTGCGTATTGGCTGTGCTTTGAGCTAATCAAGGCCTCACATGTCGGCTCCGAAGATACGGACGCGCTGCTCGATCTATCAGCATTTATTGACCAATCAGAAGATGTAAATCAAGTCTTTGACGAGCTATACGACTTTTCAGTTCAAGTACTAGACTCACACACCGAGGTGGCACAGGTTGACTGGCGTTTGGAAGCCATTGCTCTCGAGATAATGGCCTATGCTGCACATAGATCAGGTGACAAGTTTAGACCAGAGCTCATTGACGTGCTATTCCCCGTTGCCACGTTCCTGGGCTCGGATAACGGCAACCTGCAGCAACATGCCATTGCCACGCTAAACAGCATAGCACAGTCTTGCCAGTATTCCAACGTCTCAGAGTTGATCATTGACAACGTCGACTATATGGTCAACTCGGTCTCGCTGCGGCTGAACACGCTGGACATCTCCCCGGCATCCACACAGGTCCTGCGAATGATGGTGCAGCTGGCTGGACCTCGCCTGGTGCCGTTCTTGGACGACGTCGTCGAGTCCATGTTTGCTGCTCTGGAAAACTATCACGGATACGCATCTTTCGTGGAGAGCCTCTTCTCCGTCTTGAAGGAGATTGTGGACCAGGCCACCCACGCAGATGGCCGGCTCTTGACCGACGCCGAGCGGTCGTCCACCAACCACAAGAAACAGGCACAAGCGATAGAGAGCCTAGATATGCTTCTTGAAATCCTCGACAGGCGCAAACAGAGAGAAGAACGTGATAGGGCCGAGATGGAAAACACAGAGGCCAAGAGCGGACACCCCGGGGTCCCATGGACGAGCGACCTGGCCCAGGGACAAGACGACCAAGAACAAGAAGGACCCCCAAAAGAACAGGAAAAACCGCCAAACTCGCCCACGTACCAGCTTGTCCAGCGCGTGGCGACGCTCACGCAGCACTACTTGACATCGCCGACCCCGACGCTGCGAAGGTCCCTACTGGAACTCGTCTCCGCGGCATCGTCCGTCCTCGCCGCCGACGAAGATTCCTTCTTACCCCTCGTCAACGCCATCTGGCCCGTGGTCATCACCAGGCTCCGCGACCCGGAGACCTTTGTCGTCGTCGAGGCTTGCGAAACGCTCTCCGGACTGTGCAAGGCGGCGGGTGACTTCCTCAGCACCCGCTGGAAAACAGAATGGTGGGACGGACTGGGTGATTGGTGTCGCAAAGCTAAGCAGAATGCGTCTAGGGACAAGGGACGCTCCAACATCCCCCTCTCGCAATCTAGATCAGGGAAGGATATCGTGATTCCTATACGATCGGGCGATGGCTTTCAGGTTGCGCCAAGGGCCGTCGGTGGGACGGAACAGGCGCTGAGCGGAGGCCTCGGCCAGCATGCGTCCCCGGTGAGGATTTGGGAAGCGGCGGTGAAGCTGCTCACGGCAATCATCTCGTACGTGCGTGTAGAAGACGAAATGTTTGATGAGATCCTGGACCTTTTGGCGGATATCATGGAAAAGAACCGGGAAGTGAGGGAGGCTTTGGAGGTTATCAACCCCGATGCCGTCTGGGCCGTGAGATATGAGCGCGGGCTTGTCGAATGGACTCCCGCTCCGGTGCTGGAGGGCGTAGTATTTCCAGAGATGGAAAGGATATCTTGAAGAATGAAACATGTACCATGTTTGCACTTTGCATGTATTCTCAACATGATTTCATTGACTCATTTATGTTACATGTGTTCTCAAGTCTATTCGATTTCTTTTCCCCGCTTGCTCGCTCTACACAAAAACATGACCCCCCCTGAAAACTTATATCTTCGGCGCCACATCCATGTATCCATCCACCACAGCCTGCATCAGCTGGTGCGCAATAGCCTGCGACGGCGGCACGGCCAACGGGCCAGCGTATCCCTCAGGCGCAGGATCTCCCAGCGCACTGGTCCCCTTCTTGAGCGCCTCGCGCACCTCCTCAAAGGTGAACCATCTGGCGCTCTCGAGCTCCTTGTCCAGCAAGCTAATCTCCTCGCCGTCCGGCAGCGCCTGCGCAATGGCGCCAATCATCAGACTCGACGGATACGGCCAGGGCTGGCTGGACTGGATGGTGACGCGGCCGACGCGGACGCCCGCCTCCTCCCAGACCTCGCGGCGCACGGAATCCTCAATGGACTCGCCGGGCTCGATGAAGCCGGCCAGGGTGCTGTGCCACTTGGGCGGCCAGCGGCTCTGGCGGCCGAGCAGCATGCGCTTGCCGTCCGAGGAGATGACGGCGACGATCATGGTCGGGTCGGTGCGCGGGAAGCACACGTTGGAGATGCCGTGGCGCGTGGGACAGTCGGCGCGGGTCGTGGGCTCGGAGCCGCCGGCGAGGTCTGTGGGAGGGCAGACGCGCTTGTAGCCGGACTCGACGGAGAGGTTGAGGGTGCCGCAGCCGGCGCAGAAGCGGTTGCGGACGTTCCAGTCGATGAGAGAGCGGGCCTGGGCGAGGATGGCGGCTGGTGTATATGAGATTAGTTGTTGGGGACCGTATCATGAGGGGGTGAGAATGAGAAGTGAATATGAGATTCAATCAAGTCAAAAAAGGGGTCATCTCAACTCACCTTCTTCAGGATCCAGCGTCATGGTCCGCACATTCGTCTGTATCGAATACCCCTTGGCCTCGGCATCCTTCACAAACGCCTCAGCAGCCTCCGCATTGCCCCCCGCCGGCGTCACATCCAACGCAAAGTACGGCTGCCCATTCACAACCCCATGCTTGCTCGTCTCGAAATCCACCCCCAGCGGCGTATCCGGCAACAGCCCCAAGAAGAGCAGCGTCGGGCTCGGCCTGGTCGAGTCAAACGCCGCCTTCTTCTCCTCATCCGACCGCCCAAACGGATCCGTCCCAATCAGCGGCTTCACATCGCCGAGTCCGAAAAACGCCAGCCGCCGCGCGTTCTCAATCACCGGGTTGAGGTCGCGCAGCGCCACGAACCGCGCCGCCGGTGCCGTCGCCGCCGCGCGGATGAACGTGATGTCGTTGCGCAGGAACGAGAAGCGGTTCAGCAGCCCGCCGCCATAGTAGTTGATCGTCTCCTTGCCGAATCTGCGCGACAGCATGGAGTCGTCGTTGGCCAGCGAAGGCGGGCCGGGCTGGAAGACTTGTGACATTTGGTAACGAGGCCTTGGGGCGGTAAAACCGGCAGGACGGATTGTCTCTTACTATTTTGATCAAGGAGAGAAAAAAAGAGGAAGAATGAGAAAAAAATATGGAGAGTAAACTGTGACGGTTGTTGCTATAACGCCTTTCGACTTTGCAATTTATAATGACGTTTCCCCCTTAGCTCATTATTCCCATTCCCTTGATATCCGGCTATCGTGCGTATTTGCCGCTTCTAGCGTCCAGATAAGCGTCGGTTTGGTCGTCCTTCTGTCGAGCTTTTGACAATTCCATCCGGGCTGATTAATATACATATATGGAATCTACCAGAGTGAGGGGTTCCAGCGTTGCCGCCATTACTCATCACCAAGGCAGACTGAAACCCTCGTCTTGAGATGGCGTAGCTTCGGGATTCGGAGTCTTGCGTGTTTCTTCAAGCCCAAAAGCTGGGGTACCATGGACTGGACACTGATGCCTTTTGGTCTCTCTGTACTCCGTAGGCTGACAATCTGCAACGCCGCTGCAGGCTAGGATCTGGGGAAGACAGGAATTGTCCAAATTGCATGGCTGCGGCAAAAGGCTGCATCGCTATTGGGCGGGGTTTGCCGCAGGACGCCGCAGTTCTCGGTCTCGGAGTGCAGCTTTGGGATTCGATGGCTAGGATCATGGTGGAAGACCCTTGCCTCTTTTTATCCAACGTCCCGGTGGGCATTCGATCGATCGGTTCATCTTTGACTCGTTAGCGATTGTAACAAGCATGAGGCGGGATTGAGACGGCTGATTCCTGTTTGTTAACATCTCCACCAGATTCACTCAAAACACTGGACAGGTACGACGCATGTGCACAAGGCTGAGTGAGATGAATCGAGTAGGTGTAATGGTACTAGCAAGTACCTGCCAGAGCAAATCCCTTTTCGTAAGTGGCCTACGTGCCAGAAGATAACTATCAAGGTCCAAAACTGCCCATGTTTCTAGCCAGCTTTCATTTACCAAACTGTACCACCCTCCGTAAACTGGCTCGAGCTGCTGCTTGAAGCGTTAGCTTCTACAATGAACTGGCGACAATTCATGACAACTATACCCAATGACGAGATAGATGTAGGTGTGTCTCAAACATGTCCCGGACGATATCCTGATACAAGTCAGTATGAGCTGCCGATATTCAAGAGTGCGTGTCTTGATGGCTTGACTAACCTGCATTGAGGCGTAGCGACTGGGAGAGTGGCAAGCAAATGGGTTATAACGTGTCTATTTCCTCCAGTCTCAGTTGTTTGACCAATCCCATGTTCTTTTAGAAATATACTCACAACTCTTCTTCATCTTCATCACTCTTCCGAGGGCAAATTTTATTCGTCTCACTTGTTCCTTCTAGTTGGGCATTCGTACGGCGTAGAACCAGCCCTCGTCGGTGACGTACCATCGACAGTCACCTAGGTGGTCAATAGTAAACCGGTTGCGCTGGGTCCAATTACCGTCAACTTCGCGAACATAGTAGAAACGAGATGGGTCATCGTCCGATGGCTTGAACTCCTGAGGCTCGAACAGCTTGTTCGCGTGCGCAAACTGAAGCTGCCGCACAGTCTCCTCTCCAGGGGTTCTCCCAAGACCAGACACATCGGGGATTTGGCCACCATTACCTGCTATGACGGGCACGCCGCCGACGCCGGGCACGCCCATCGCGGGAACAGTGTGCAGTTGCTGAAAGGGGATCGCAGCAGGAGCTGGCTGTCCGCCGATCATGACAGGCTGTTGGCCGACGAAGGGCTGTGGGACGACGGCAGGCTGCTGAGCAACAACGTAGCTTGGGTGCGCGACTGGGACGCCGGCAACGGTTGGCTGCTAGAGACGATGGTTAGCAGGTGGGTGGGTAAGGGGTGAAGAGCAAACGAAGCGAAGAAGACATGAGACGAAAAGAAGAAGAAAAGAGCCGTGTGCCAGATAAAATATGGTAGATAGAGGAGAGAAGCCTCGAGGCAACGAGGCAGCCCATGAGGCAGCCGAAATGGAGAGCAAACAGGCCACCCAGCATCACGAGACGAGCACACGCAAAAGAAGAACAAGGAGGAAAAAACACCAGCCGAGAGAGAAGCGCTGCGGGTCAACTTGCATAGTAAGTGTAGCCGTTGTAGTAGAATGTCTTTGGCATCACAACGGAGCACGAGGCAGGGGCGGAAACAAACTGTACCGAAGGGAGACCGACTTGAACAGCAGCAGGCATGTAGCTCCCGTCAAAGCGAGGCACATAGACGTGCGGCATCGGGCCAAACGTCGTATCCGGCACGGGGGGCTGGAAGTTGATGCCGGCAGACATCGGGGCTGCGTTTTGGTAGTCGGCCATGGCGATGTTCAGGGGCTGCGGATGTCCGATGTAGGTGATTGCGGGGGGAAGCTGATGCTGATGCTGATGCTGATGCTGCGGAGGAACAGGGAACGGGCCGTTGAAGAGCTGCGGCTGCGGCTGTAGCTGTGGGCGTAGGAAGTGAGCGGGCTGGTGTTGGCCAGGTGCGAAAGCTGCAAACGGCTGGCCGGGCAACTTGACGCTCTGAGTCGGATCGACGGCCGTGTGCCACTGGCCAGCTCCCAGAGTGCTGACAGGCGGTGCGCCGAGCTGAGGGAAGTTCTCGGGCTGGTTGCTGGTGTTTTCGTCGGTCGAGGCCGAGGTCGGAGTGGTGGAAGTGGTTGGGATGGAAGAGAAGGGAGGGCAAGTAGAGGTGGAGGTTGGTGTTTTGGTGCTGCCTGGGCTCTGGAAGTGCACCTGACGAAGGGGCTCGCCTCCAGCCTTGAGCCGTCGGGGGGTCTTGGGAGACTTGAGATCCGGTGCAGCTTCGGGCATTTTCAGGAGAGGCACAGCAATCTCAACAAATGGGATTGAAGGAGAAAAAAAGGAGGGGGAAAATACGAAGAGGAAGAAGAGATGCGTTTGTTGCTGCGGAAGGGAAGTGGCAGAGAGTGAAAGAAGCCGGAGCTGAGCTGGCGTTGCTGGCCAATTCACTTTCATCGTCTGAAGACGGCTGCGCGTTTGTCTTTTTATTCGATCCGCACTGTCGAATAAATTTCACAGCTGCGTCCAACTAATTGTTCGAGCTCTTTGCCTCGGGGAAGAGCTGCAGGCCCATGGGAGAAATGAAAGAAAAAGGGGGGACTATCACAGGCTCTTTGCTCGAGAGATGAAGCACAACGCAACAAAACAACTTTCAATAGCAAACAATAGAGAAAAAGACGAGATGAAATACGACGAAAATTAAAAAAGGTACACTCACATATCGTTGCAGAGACCACGCCTGCCCGTCATGCACCCACACATGCTGCTCCGGCATTGAGTCCAACGGATCTTCGTATTCTGTCCACGTCCAAGGAAAGCAAGGCAGACACATGGTCGATTCAAGTAGTCGAATGAACAAATAGTTTCAACGATGTAGGTTGAAAGCTCAAGAGGAGAAGGACAAAGCGTAGTATTTGAGGCGGTTTGCAGTGGTTGTTGTACAGGGTGAGAATTGAGCAGCGAAGTCGAGTGAAGAGGAGGACTGTTTGACTCTTTGCATCAAAGTTAACTTTACTACTTGCCCATTGATTTGCACCAGCAACAATAGATTACCTCAATAGCAAGGAGTTTCGAGCTGTGTTTCTTCCACCTCGACTCTCTCCCGCCATTATCTCGCTCAATAACAACCCCTGAGACGCAGCTTTAGGCGACTCAGTTTCCAGCAGTTGAATTCCCTACCTCTTCAGCCCATCCACCCAACACAAACATCACAAATCACCCAGCTGCGAATAGACACTTTTTTTTTTGGCATAAACTTGTTCAAATTCCACCATCATACACCCCTGTCCAGACACACTCGTTTTGAATCCAAACTTTGAAATTCATGACCAGACGCCCCCAGCCTATAACGTCTAAATGCTTCGCTGACCGGTTACCCGATATAATGTACAGTTCACTTTAGGGAGGAGAGATCATCTATCACCACCGTGCAGATGTGTTTTTTTCCCTTCTTCTTCTTTCAGTCCAAACTCCCACGACACATCTGGCACTGGGCTTGGGGAGGCGCTCCCTGAATTTTTTTTTTTTGTTTCTGTAATCCCCATGCCTCCTCTAGCCAAGTGTCTTTCCTATCTTCAAAAGCCATTTTCGGGCCACCCATATGTGGTTGATTAATAGTGTTTCGTGTGTCGTCAGAAGAGTCTTTCTTCTTCATATGGTATTCGTTACAGGTTGTTTTTGGTTTGCTATATTATTACAATGTGGCGTGCTCGGCATGGGCCTCCGGGACGGAGAAGAATGATTGTCGTACAACCTGTCCAGCATGCTACATTAGCCTTGTCATCTTCTTCATGCAGTTATCATGCACGGTCGACTTACCGCCCAGGCGCCGGCTGCGGAGGCCACCAGACCGCCAGAAATCATCATTGGCCGAACACCCTTGGTGCTCTTGAAGACCATGCCACTGAGCGCACCAGCAGCAATTGTGTTGAAGGCGTCATGCTCACCACGCAGGTAGCCAATCAGCGAGTTGATGCAGTTGTATGTGATGGCGACAACTCCCGCATTGTTGCCCAAGAATGGGCCCCGCCTCGTCATGGCGTTGAGGACGGCATTGAGCCGCAGCTTGGGGGGCTGACCGGCTGATTTCCGCAGGCCCTCCTGGAATCCCCATGCGCCTCCTATGGACAGCGCCGTCAGGTATGTGATACCGGTGCCGTAGCAGAGGTCGTCGGTGAATCCTCGAGACGGCAGGACGGATTGGCCGCCCGGCAGGTCGGACAGCGTCGAGTCTTCGAGTGTGAGGTATTCCAGAGTGTCCCTGTTCAGTCCAGCCAAGGGGTGCAGCTGTGAAGGATCCGCAAAGGCCGAGCTCTGCAGAAAAGACTCGACGCCCGCGCCCTGGGTCGGGTCGTAGAGGTTGGCGGTAGGAGGGGCAGCATCGGAGAAGGTCTGGGTTTGCTGCTGCTGCGGCTGCTGCTGCTGCGGCTGGTGGGCGGGCTTGTTGCCTCCGGTAAACGCATTCCATAGAGAAGACATGATGGGCGTCTGATTGTGAGTTGAAGAGGACGAAAAAACAAGCGCTGCGGGTGTCGATGACAAGAGGGAACTGGTTCTCACTGAAACCTGTCGCAGCCGGAAGATCCTGTTGGCGCCTCCGAACTTTCAAAAAATTTCGGGAAGAAGCGCAAAGCGGTCCGTGCGCGGGTCTTCGAATTCGGAGAGTGCGAGTCACGTGGTGCAAATATTGCATGCGCAGAAGCTTGAAGAAGAATTGGATGGTAAATTTTGGTATGGAGGCGCTTTTTAACGCTCAGCTTTCGGCTAGATAAGGCGTTTACATGCTCGTACGTCTTTATTCAATCAAAAAGACTTCGACACATGGAAAGCTGTCGTCTGTAGCATGTTTCCGCTGCTCGTACGAGTACTGCCGAAAAAAAAACTTCATGTACGGCATAACAGGTCACGAAACAGAGGCCAAGATTCTACAATCTCCCTTGACATGACCAGTCCATGAAGACGTTTTAATTTCTACGCACAGTCCAACCCTAGGCCTTTCAGCCCGCACCACTTTGTCAAGCAAAAAACAACAACAAAGACTATCATCAAGCAAGATATGTCGAGAGACACCCACAGTCACAGCCCTCTAGAGGCGTCGACTCGCGGCTGATAGGAAAAGTGTATCACATTCAATTTTGGAGGCCGGGAACGGAAGGAAATCCACAGAGAATCAGGTTAACCCTCAGCAAGCCGCTATGCGGAGCCGCCGTTTGAATTATTAAAACACTTGACGGTGTAGGAATAACCCAACTGATGATGAGAAGAAGAAAAAAGAAAATTCGCAAAATCTGGCTGCCAAGTTCGAGTTTTATTCTTGCTCGGGAGTGGAACCATGCGCTAGCCTGGATTTGGTTAAACACATGCTTGGATTGAGCTCTCGAGGAGCGGAAATTCAATTTGCCGAGACTGCCGGGCTGGGCACGTCGCTATCAAATAAAGAAAAAAAGAAAAATCAGATTGCCGAAGAGGAGAAAGTAACAGACAATAAGGTTGCTTCAAGATCATTTCAGTCGTCATTATACAAGTGCTTATATTCGTTATAATTATAACCATGAGTATGGAAAAACTCGATGTTTAAAAAGTTATACAGCCGTCCCGAATTGCCCAAATATCCGCCCATTTTGTTGTCCTGTTGAACCGTTTGATCACCATGTTGCCATGGCACAAGCTTTGAAGTGTCATCAATCTGTACCGTACCCAATGATTTTCTAAAAAAAAAAAAGGAGATAGAAGCAAAAGAAAGAAGGAAATATGAGCCGAAAAAAAGAGATAAGATATGTCAGGAACAAAAGTCACTCCAGGTATTCTGAGCAAAGTGCAGTGACCGAGATAAGAAAAGGAAGAAGGAAAGCATAAGAAGAATGAAGAGGAAAACGACAAGTTGCCATATCAGGCATCAGAATTCAAGGCGGCCGTCTCACTCTCGATCAAGAAGTGGTCTGTTATCCCAAGACTCGTCAATGGCGCTGGTATCGTCTTCGGCGCGGACTTCTTCTTCGTCGCTTTCCTCTTCCGTCCTGTACATAAAGTACTGGGCGAAAACACCAAAATCCATCAAAAGGGTAATGGCGCTGCCAGCCAACCAGCTGAGGTTGACCAAGATGTATTTGCCATAGAGCCGTCTTGCTTCATCTGGCTCGCAAGTCTCCTCACCGCAGCGTGGTTCATACACAATAATGGACAACACATAGGTTGCGTTTCCGAGACAGGCAAACAAGAAGAAGAGCATGCTAAGGCCTTCGGTTGTCTTGCGTCTCCAGTTGAGAATGAGCTGTGGCAATCGAGATGCAATGTAGAGAACCGCGCAGATGTATCCAAACACTTGGCCTAAAGTGTTGAATTCGAGGGAGTTGTCACCGCCGTCGGCGGGAGATTTCTTGTCGCCAGAGGCCCTTTCACCCAAGAACCACCCTGCGACTCCAGCGGCGCAAACCATGATGATCACCACTGAGTTCCAGACAATGGTTTGGAAGGCAGTCGGAGGTGGCTGCGGAGTGCTCGGTGGCTCAAGAAGATGCGGCACTGCTGGCGAGAAGCCAGACCAATCCGAACCACGCCGGCCACGGTGATCTCGGCCATGGTGTTCCACTCTGGCAATAAGGGCAGTGTATTCATCCACAGGGGCAGAAGCGGCCGCCGATGTCGAAGAGTGACCATTTGTCTTGGGCGGGGTTGGAGTCGGCTCGTCGCGCCACGTAAATCCGCGATAGTAAAACAGCTGGCAGAGCAGTACGAGGTCGGCAATTGTGTAGTATATGGCCAGGATGATCTGGAGATGGAAAAGTCAGCTTTGTGTCGAGGTCACGCGAGCGGCGGGCAGCATACCATGGTGGGGAGAACTCCTTGCAAAACGGCTCCGAGGATGTTGAAGACATCTCCCAGGAGCCAAGCAATGATGAATTGAATCGAAAGGGCATCGGCGCTGCTGCGTTGGAAGTTTTGTATGATTTGCGGCGAGAAGACGACCACTGGAGAGGAGTTAGCTGGTGCGCTCTCACAACCCTGGTATAACGACGACGTCACTGACCCCAACAGGCTATAGAGATGGATCTGGCGAAAAGACGAAAGGTCAGCGACGGCATACACAATTGGAATGCAGAGAACATACCCGCAAATGCCCGAGATTGCCTCAACATCGAGGTTGAATGTCTGCGTCGGAGGGGCCATGGTTGCGGAAGCTGGGCGGCTGGCCTCTACTGCAGCTTTCCGAGCTCAAGTCAATGACGATGATGCCGTGCGATGACGGCGCCTTGGTGAGGATGGAGATGGAGATGGAGATGGAGATGGAAATGGTGGTGATGCGATGTTGCGAATTGGCAATTCCAAGAACCTTCAGACACGCCACCGAATTCTTCTTTGGAGTAAGGGAAGATGAGGAGAGCAAACCATTGAGTCAGGCAGGTTTATTTTTTTCTCCGTCACGGCACTGCCGTAGGCAAAACTTGGTTCAACCTTGTCTCGCAATTTGCAGCTAGAAGGAAATTTCCCATTGCGGCCGCATTCGGCACGTGCCCTCGCGCCTCTGGTCACTGAACTGTGAATTTACAGCGGCGATGGAGCTTCTGCAGAGTCTCCACTTGGCCACTGAGAACGCTGATGACGCCGCATCTCATGTTCTCATGCAGATATTGATCACCTGGGCAGTTTAATGCAGTTAATGATGAACGGTAGACCAAAATCAATAAAATGCCAACCTCGATAGAAATAGAGTCTGATTGATTGTTGATGGGATTTTCCCATTCATCATTGTATCTTGTAATGGTGGCCTTGTACTTTTCTGTAGCTTTGTAGCTCTGGGGGACAAACAAACTTGAGCTCATGCATGCAACTTCGCCGAGGTAAAAGGGCTTAGTCACAGCGCCAACAGTACTGTATCTAACGAGCTCGTCCATCTCTCGGCCCAACCACTCACTTCAATCAATATCGCTCTGCGAATACAGAGCAGAAACGGCAAGATGCTCATCATCGGACTTACTGGGTCCATTGCGACCGGCAAATCAACAGTTTCCTCGCTCCTCTCATCACCGCCGCACTCACTGCCCATTGTCGACGCCGATGTCCTGGCTCGAGAGGTTGTCGAGCCCGGCACAAGAGGCTATCGTGCCATCGTCAGGCACTTTAGTCCCATGGCCCCAGACCTGCTTCTTCCAGCTTCAGATACCATGCCGGAGAATGGACCCAATGGCAAGGGACGGCCGTTGAACAGGGCTGTCCTGGGACGCCTTGTCTTTGGCGATGAGCCCGAGATGCAAAAAAACAGGGCGGTGCTCTCTTCGATTGTCCACCCAGCTGTACGGCTAGGAATGGTGCAACAAGTGACGGCCTGTTATCTCCAGGGCTACTGGGCGGTGGTCTTGGATGTCCCACTTCTGTTTGAAAGCCGGCTGGATAGGTTTTGTGGAACAACAATGGTCGTTGCCGTGACGGAGCCGGAGACGCAGCTCAAGAGACTGATGGATAGAAATCAGGATCTCAGCAGAGAAGACGCCGAGAACAGGGTCAAGAGTCAGATGGATGTGCGGCTCAAGGCAAAGAGATGCCTGTACGGAGGTGATGGAAAGGGGGTGGTGCTCTGGAATGACGGATCCAAGGACGAGCTCAAGGCCGTGCTGGACGAAGAGATGCGGAAACTAAAAGCAGTGAATCCAGCGTGGTGGTCCTGGCTGATGCTTGGATGCCCGCCATTGGCAGTGGCATTGGCAACATGGAGGTTTTGGCAGAATACCAGAGTTGAGAGACAGTGGAAAGAGTTGCAGGAGAAGGAGGCCAGCACTTGAACACTTGGTAGCCAAAAGAGTGTGAGTAACAAACAATGGAATACAATACCAAAGTACACCGAAAAATGAAAATGTACAGAAATGTTACTTTCTGCTTTGGTGGTTGACAGGTGGTGGGCGGTCAGATGAAACCAGCTGACATGAGATTTTGGGAGTTTGGGACAATTCGCACGCCTCGTTCGCAGCCAACCTCCTCCTCTCTCCCTCTTCGTTTTCCTTTACTCTCCCCACCTCACTTCTCATTTTTCTTCACATCACTAAACGGACGAAATTCATCGGGTACTGACTGCATTTGGTATCTGTTCTTCTCTAGTATTATTTTATCATCGTCTCTACAGGAATCTGTTCAAGTTATTTTTCTTCTGCTGGTTGCGCTTCTCAGTTTCAACAATCTCGCGGCTGATGCTAATCTTGATCTCACTTTCGCCTCATCTACGCCAACATCAATGAAATCTTATTTACAACTATTCTAGCAATATTCGCTGCTACTATTGTCGTCAACATGCCCAAGAAGGCTGGCCCCTCCCTCCTCTGCGAGTGGATGGTGGGAACAACCATCAAATCAGCTCTTGGTCCACCTCCTAAACCGCCAAAACCTAAAGCCAAGAGGCGCGACATTATCAAACTTCACGTGACGACGGATGATGAGTCCGGCGAAGACACCCTCACAGTGACTTACCCTCGATCCGAGAGGCTAAGGGAAAAGACGGAGACACCAGCTGAAGTATCTAAAGCGCCAGAACCCCAGCCTGAGCCTGAATCCCAGTCGGAGCCTGAGGTGGTGGAAGTGGTAAAAAAGGTTCGGTTCGAAAAAGAGGCAACCCCGAAGAAGTCTGCCTTGAAAAAGAAGACATCAGTCACATTCTGTGAGGAGGAAGAATCTAGTGCCGAAGTCACCTCTACCTCTGCTTCATCTGGAGAGGCAACTCCCGATGCCAGTTCCTCCAATGCGAGTTCAGCTGCTGAAACATCATCTGCAGAAGATACTTCTTCCGGAAGTTCTTCTATTTCAGCCAAAGCGTCAAAGTCGACAAGGTCTCCCAAGAGCAAGAAATTGGAAAAGCGAGTTCAGAGCTCAGATAGCGAGGCCGATTCTGAGCCTCATCCAACGTGTGAATGCAAAGAATGCGCCTCAGGAAGAAAGAAGCAGAAGCAAGGGGCTACCTGCGAGAAGAAGAAGTGTAAAAAGAACGACAAAAAGAAGAAGGAAACAGAGTCCGAGTCCGAGACCTCGGTATCCGAAGCAGAGTCTTCGGTTGAAGAGAAGCCTACACCATCCAAGAAGCCTAAAGAAAAGAAGAAGGAAAAAAAGAAGGCTGAAGTCTCCAGCGCCGAAGGAGAAACCTCGGAGTCAGCAAAAGAAACTGAAGGCGAATCTGAAGCAGTTGTGAAGAAAACACCCGAGAAGAAGAAAAAGACTCAAAATAGTGACAAGACGGAAAGGGCTGAAAAGAAGACGAGCAGTCCAAAGGGTGATGAGAAAAAGAAATCTGACGAAGCAAAGGAGCCCGAGAAAGAAAAAGAAAAGGAAAAGGAAGCAGAGGAGGCCACGTCCGAAAAAACACCGACAGGGAAAGGAAAAGAAAAAGAAGTTGATGATACTACTCCCAAGGCAAAGGATATGGATCAGAGGTTACATGTCACAGACGGCTATCACTACACGCACTCTCGTCCCCCAAATCTCATTGCCCCCATCCGCGCAGAAGTCATGCAAACCGAGCGTGTGGTTGAAGGGCAAGATGACCCTCCCCCAAATGCATACTATGATGCTCTACACGGTGTTCTTCGCGTATATCATGGATCCGTGTATGGGCAGAATGGGCATCACATGTTTGCTCCTCGAGAAAATGCTACTGGGCTCCCGCAGTCTTTTGGCAATTCGAATCAAACGCAAAACCCGTACTATCATGGCTACAACAACATAATGCCGATGCCAGTACCCCAACAGCAACCACCGCCGCATGGATATGAGCATGTGCCGATTACGCAAGGCCTGCCAATACCAGGTTGGAATGCCATGGCACCGCCTCCTGGTTACCCACCGTACAACTACCAAGGGCTGCCTCCGATGCCTGCGCCCTGGTACGAGCAGCACCTTGACAAACAAGGAACCAAAGGCGCATTCAGCATGTACAATGGCATGGGCGGCACACCTGATAGAAAAGGAAGAAGTAAGGCACGAGAACCAGACAATAACGTGATGCCAGAGGTGACAAAGGTATGTAGAAGCTGCAAAGATTCGCCCGGTTGAGTTCGTTTGAACAAAGCTGACACTACAAAGCCAAACCCGTATTATACGAAAAGGCAGTCCCCCTTTAGCAACATGGGTAGCAACCGATCTGACGGTAAACCACCATCTCATTCTGGCCAATCCAACTGTTCCAAAAACGGGAACAAAGATACGGGTCCCAACTGGGATACCGCTTCCCGAAGGAGCGTCGGAGCGTGGGCAAACAGCAGTAACCATGGGGCTACATGGGGTGATGGCGGCGGCGATACGAACAACAACCAGGGAGGTGGTGATCGATGGGGTTCTGGCGGTGGTGGCGGCAATACATGGGGCACGACAAACAATAACAATGATCAATGGGGCAGCAACGATAATAACAACAACACTGGAGCTGATACATGGGGAACTGGAGGTGGGAACGATCAGAATAATCCGGGGGGCTGGGGTACTACCGATAATGGCAACAATGGCGGTAACACCTGGGGCGATGGAAATAACGACAATCAGCAGGCGAATGATAATAATGGCAACGGCGGTGGCCAGGGCCAAGGACAAAACTCTCCAACAGGGGGGAATGACCCCCCTGCCTCCATGGTGGACAACAATGTTATTCCTGTGGCTGCCGTAACAGGCCCGCCGGGTGAACAGGAGCAGTCCAAGATGCCGGGAAGCTGGTGTTCAGATGATAATGGACAAGCGGCGTTTGTGGATCCAACGTGGTCATCATATCAACCTCCGTCTGCGGTGCCTGCTTGGGGAGATCCATCGATGGCAGCGAATACGGGAGGAGCAGTGGACTGGTGATGCAAAGTTTGGTATATTGGAGATTTAAAAAGGGTTCAACGTGTTCATCGGGATATAAATGCCGTGGAAATGGGTGAATCCTAAGGGGCTGGATCTCAAGATGAGACTGTGTCAATGGTGCCATAACTAGTATCATCATTCTCGTCTATACTTGTCTTCCGATCATCCATGAAAAACGGAATCTCTTAGGGGATATACCTAGCAACGGTAAAATAACTCTCACAATCTTCGCCTAGTACCCCAATGACGAAATACATATGTCCTCTAATATCACCGTCTACGCCTAGAGTATATGTACCCAGCCTTGTAGAGTTCGCCCAATATATCCAATTTCTTAGCACTATCTTGCCAATTCAGCCGCCATATGCAGTTGATTAGCTTGCTTTGAGGGCTTCGGTCTCCATGGCGTCTCCCTTTGCTGGTGCCCGAAAAATACACCCATGGGACGTACTTCTTTCTGAAACGGTACGCGGCCTCCGAAACATAAGATTTGCTGTGATATTCCGATAACCGATTCGAAGAAAAGATGGCATCCCAATGGTACCAGGCTGTTCCAATGAGTAATTCGGGACACAAGTCATCGCGGGGAAACCGAATGTCTTTTACGGTCCCCGTTCCTCCGAATATGAAATCGGGGACGGTTCCGCTTGCGAAATGTCTTACATTCTGTCGCATGCCGCCGACACACCCGCGGTACCGACGACATACTCCCGGAGTGAGAATAGGCGTCGTGCCGATAGCTTCCTTTACACGGCGAGGTTCGAGTAGTTGCTCATCGACTGTCCTTTGTTTGGACAGTATCTCCCACACTGCCGTCAATACTTTCTCACCACGATCACTGGAGTTTGCATGTCTTAATGCCGAAGCCCATAGATGCGAAGCCGCGAATGTTTTCCAAATGAACGATACATTCTGCAAAGTCATATGACATTCCAGCTGCGTATTCCCACCACCGCTACCAAGGATGTAAACCTCGTTTAGAAATGGCAGAGAGGCCACAATGGGTTCCAAAGTCTCGGCCAGCATGATTACCCAGTTGGTCAAGGTGTCTGAGAGGTAAAAGAACTTCTCATGTCTAAAGACGCGCAGGCTCGGACAGAGGTCGGCAATGACGCGGAGACGGTCTCCTGGTCTCCCCTTTTTGACCCTACTTGGATCATAGTGGAAATTGATGTCCGCTGGATCCGGTGCGATGGTGATGCTTCGGATGGCCTCGCGGCGATCCGAGGTGATGGCAGCAACATAAGTGAGGCAATCACGGCTTGTGGAAAATCGGAATTTGTTGAACTAGATAGTTGAAGATTAGCAGATAACACGAGGCCAGTGGTAAGTGTCATTCTCTACTTACCTTGTAAAAGATCATCCAATCATCCTGGTCATGGTAAAACAGCCGACAAGTCTTCATAAGAGCATTAAGAAGAAGGGTACTGTCTTGACCACTTCCCGGGGAAAAGAAGGTCTCTGTTCCATTGTCCCTGGGAATGTGCACTGGCTCAATTGGCCCTTTGCGCTCTATCAAGAGCATACACCATATCTCGTAGCGGATCTAGATCAGTAAGTAGAGAGGAATGCGGTTAGCATGATTCCGACACCAACTGTGGTACATGATGTATAGTTGAAAGGGCGAATGGATGACAGCACATACCTCTGGTGGCAACTTGGCGAACAGCGAATTCCCATCATGTTGATGCGTCGTCGGCATGATGCAAGGCAAGTAACCTATAGGCGAGATATCCTGTGGCCTCTTCGTCGAGGGTGTGCGCGTCCGATGTTCGAGAAATGATGCGCTTTCATTTGGTTGATAACGAGCGACTATATATGCCTTCTTCATCTTCCCCTTCTTTGGAACAAGCAGTTACGGTGACTTCTAAACAAGAGTAATCCCAAATTTGTCAAATTTATGAATCAACTTACGCTATTCACAGCACAGTTCGAATTATTTCATCTCCTTTCCATTTTCAAGCCTTGAAGACTGTTGCGAAGCCTAATTCAATTTGTTGGACTCTAGGTTAACTGGTTAATTCCCCAACGTTGCTCAGTTTACGCGTCCATCCAAACACTCGAGAAAGCCAACCTCTTTCTCTCTCTTTTGTTTCAGACATATACTTACTTAAACCCCCTACAGTATGTTTTGTGTGCTACCATAATCTATTGTGTAAAAGAAAGGACGGTGGAACATAATGTGAAGGCAGCAAGTTAATGGATCCAACCCGAGCTTGATCCAACTCACTCTGTGCGAAAACGACGAGAGTGACTGGCCCGCATCCCAAATTGGCTGTCTTGCATCCTAGCCAATTTCACTGCCTCGCCCGGCGATATTCTCATTATGGAACATGGGATATGGGATTCTCTATGACTAACTTGGGATTGGTAGCATGAATACTTGAATCTGAAATTTGAACATGTTCAGAAACTACTGATTGAATCGCAATAAGCTACACGGCAAGGAGTCGGTGTAGCACCATCCAACTACCTCTCAATCAGCCTTGACTCATTCCCCCCCTGCGTCCATAGTGTAGCTTGGTTACAAAGTATCCATTGGCAGCATACCAAAAGCCTTGCGCGAGGTGACTTTGCGAGCAGCAGTGTGATCCAGTCAATCGGGTCAAATGGAAGAGCCATAGCCAGCCACCATGGCAAATCGTCCCCCTTCGTCGGGCATGAGCCGCATATGTACAGATGATTCTTCCCTCTGAGCTACTCAGGACGTGTCATCATCAACACGAACCCATATGCATATCTCAACTGGTCTTGAACTGACAGGCGTTCTAATTCGCGCAGAGTATTTGGGGAGGGCGGCGGTATTCCATCCATAAACTGTGCCGTACTGACTGATAAGGACTCTACACAGGTTGCATCTTTGAATGGTTTTGTATTGGCGGTTATGATATCATCGGCAAGAGCGAGATTACCGTATGTAAAGCGCGAGATACCGTCTATCGTTAGGCGGCAGTTCTTTTCAAGCCATTGCGCACAGCGAATGCGTGTGAGCACCCCGATAGGAGAGACTTGGTCGTGCGGATTGTCCATGATCTGGATTATGCCAAGAATCTGTTGGGATTGCTGTAATGATTTTTGTAACGTCTTTTGAATTAACTCGAGGGGTACTGTCGTTCCCGTGACGAAATCCTCTAGATGCATGGATGTATTAGGTGCGACCATCTTCCTCCACAACAAGATGGGGAGATTGTTCCATTCACGCGTATAAGATGCAAGCTGCCGACGCAGGTACTCCGCCTGATGGCTCTTATACAAGGTCCCAACAATAGCTGAGACGGCCTGATTGCTCACCAGCGTTTGTGATGATATTCCCGGTAAAGCCTTGCCACAATAGGGGCATGGCGACGATGTTTTGATGGCGAGGAGTAAACACGCGCGGCAGAACGTGTTACTACAGTCTGCCACACATGGGTCCCGCGGCATCTCTTTGCATAGCTGGCACATTAAGCGACTCTTTGCGGCCATTCGAGCGGACTGTATAGCCTGCCCTTCGATATCGCCCTAGTTACACGGGCATGGCCAAAGCTCCAAGTAGCTGACATCGTCCGTCCGCCACAGAATACCGTCTTGAAGAAGATCCCATATGGCTAACAGCTTACCATGCTCGTAGGATCTGTGAATAATCCTGGCCTCGGACTCGAGCTTCGAGATCCTCAGAACTCCGACCTCTGCGCACAAGAGCATATGAGAGGAGTCTGCCCGTAAGCGTTCCAGTTCTGTTTCGAAACAGGCTACCACCCTCCGAAGCGTTTTGTCAATTCGGCCATGTTGGGAGTTATGGACGTGCCCGCAACTTGGGCACTTCCCGGGGGGTTGACACTTTTGACAGCAATGATAGCCGCATGGTAGTATTAGAATAATCCTGTAGCATATGATGCACCGAAAAAGTCGTATAATTTCGCGAGCCGTTGGCCTATCTGAGCTTTCCAGACCCTGTGGCTGCTCCGCCATGTTTGGGAATATTCGCTCTCCCAAGTCAAGAAAGTATGACGCTGATATCAATATTTGCTGTTGAAACTTGATGAATAAACAATGATGGGGATATATGACGAGTGCTTGAAGAAGATGTTGCTCCTGAGACGGCGACAAAGCCAAGTATCGCCAGGTGATCTCAAAGTGCCTCAGGTAGCGGTTTCTCACTAACCTTTTTGTTAGGACAATACTTTTCTCTCACCAGTTGCGAAGAGAAGACATCAGGAGAAATAGCTTTCTTCAAGGAATTTAATAATAAAAAGCATTGATGTTAGTAAATAGCCAGTGACTGCAGCTGCGATGCTTAGTACCTCTTTAGTAGTACGAAGATAAGGTACGAAGATACCTAAGGTAGTAGTCATTCCTTTCTCAAGGAGATCAAAGCCAAAGCGGTCAACAAGATAAGATAAGTCATACGCGAGGCACACACAAAATAACTTCATGTCGTTCATAACCAGATATTTTACATACCAGATCCCATCTAATCGTATAAAAGGGCAAAATCACAAGGTCTCCCTCGCATTACAACGCTCCCCAACGCCTTCCATCAAACCGACCCGAGAGACGCCCATCTCAGCAACTTATTATGGCGATGGACCGTTGATGAGATGTTTCCAACAGCTTGAGCATGCGTCCCTCCCAGCCAGGTAAGGAGTCCATCTCGAAATCCTCGTATCAAGTCTATTACCATTAATTCATGCTCTCAACACTTCCAATCTTCCAGTCTCTTGTACATCCAGCCGCTGGTGTGCTTCAGGGCCGTCTTCCTCTGCGACATGCCCGGCGCATAGCCCTGGCCCATATAGATCTTGTCGTCCATCTTGCATAGATCCTCGACATAGTTCCACTGCATGCACATTGTCCAGCCTTGGCAGGCGGCCTCGCATGCCTCAACCGACTCCCAGGCATTTGCCCACAGCGCCTTGTCGTACTGGCCATTCTCTGCGCCCGGCTTGGGAGCCCATTCTCTGTTGCCGGACGAAACCTCGAAGACGCCCGAGTAGTTGTCCCACCACTCGGCGTGCTCTTTGATATTGGGGAGGATCATGGCGTTGAAGAAGTCGCGGTGCAGCAGCGGCTTGCTCCAGTCCCAGCTCTGCTCCAGCTCGAAGTAGCGAGCGATGTCGCGGTTGTGCACCTTGTGCCACGACAGCAGCGGCTTGCACCAGTTGGCGTTGGCGAAAGCAAAGGCCCAGTGTACTACGGGGTTGAAGCCGAATGTGAACTTGCCGTCACCGCCGTTCTCGCCAAACTTGATGCCGTGCTTGCGCAGTGCGTGCGCGAGCACCTGGTCGCCGCAGCAGTGGTCGGCCGTGTACTGGTAGTATTCCTCCGTCAGGCTTCCATTTCCGTTGCCCTGCTTTCCAAACGACTGCTCCCACGCTCCTCTGGACAACGCAAAGCCCGCGCCGCCGTGGGCAAAGATGACATCTGACTTGGCCGCGTAGCTGCCCAGGTAGTGCGGCTCTGTCGAGTCAAACTTGGCCAGGTAGCCCAAAACGGCGGGCAAGAAGAGGTATGCGTCGTCTTCCATGTATATATACCATTTGGCTTTGGGCCAGTTGTCGCCGGCATGCTGGATCAGCGGAATAAACTTGTACTTGTCGATGATCCAGCCTCCCACGGGACCCCATTCATCGCCATTGACGCCGGCGGCCTCGACATAATAGTTGTTGGCCATATACTCGGGCTGCTGCCGGTAGACGTCAAAGTCAGGCTGGGCCTTGGCCGCAGAAGACATGTTGGCTAACACGTCGATGACGTTGTAGGGGCCAACCTGCTCCGGCACATCGGAGTAGATGACGGTGTTGGCCAGGGGAATACGGTCCTGGGAGAGCGACGTGGTGAAATGCACCAGCATCCGCTTCCAAATGGTGGTGCCGCCAGTTTTGACGATGAGGAGAACGTCATCTGTTGAGAGGCCGTTGTATGATATGGCCTTGGCGGGCTTCTTTTCTTTGTCTGTCGTCTTGTGGCTGCTAGTTGGCGCGATGTATTCCACCTCTTTGGATGGCGCCTCTGCTGTTCCCGCTGTCGAGCTTGTGCCCAGATCGACCGGCTTCCGTTGGCCATCGGACAACTCCACTTCCTCTACGACAATACCCTTCTGCTTGACTACTGGGTCATAACCATAATTCTCCAGCGAGGGGTCAATAAGGCAGTAGAAAAGAACAAAGCACACGGTGATGATGAGTGCTGGTATCAGCCGGTTGTTTTTGTATGTGACCAACATTGTGAGGGAATGCAGCAGCGGCAACGCGTCCGATGCATTCACTCACTCACAGCTGCGAATTTGAATAAGGAACTGAGGCAAACTTGTGGAAAGGGGAGAGAAGGAAAGAAGAAGAGAGAAAGAAGAGGTCAAGCCCACTGTCGATCTCGCGCCGGGATTTCACGCCCGAACCGGATCGCCAACTACTACTACTTTGGCACTATCAGCGGACATACTCTGTATAAGTAGTGCTACTACTACTTGTCCGGCAATTCCACATGCACGCAAAAGGGCCTCTGGCGCAAAAAGACTCCATAAACACAGAGGATCCAGGCGAGCCAAGACAGAAAGCTGCTAATCCGAGCTGGCTCCGCGCGATGACTTGTTCCGGCATAGAGACGGAAGAGAGAGAAGCCCCCTTTGACTCGCATACACGCACCGCGCCAAGCTGAGAGCTGCTTGTACAGTACGAACTAATACGGCTTGCACCGGAGAGACGAAGAGAAAAAAAAAAAACAATGCCTGTCTGCCTCATGGACAGCCCCTGGATGGCCCCAGAGCGAGATTGCCAAAACGGGTAACTGCCGGACCAGGGATACTCAGCCCCCTGGTTAGAACGCCGCTAGAGTGGGAAATGGCGCCGCCGGTGTTAGAAATTTGCTCCTTCGCTCGCCCAATTCCGTCCTTGGAGCGGCTTTGACGGAATCGTTCTTGGCGCTGTGTTTGTTTTCCTGCTTCCTGCAATGATTTTCGAATTTTTGTTTAGTTATGAGGCTATAGTGTCTCATTCTTCAACTACCTATACAGGGGGGAAGAAAGGAACGAGTGGCGACATCGGAGATTTAAAGAAACTCGCCGGTTACACGCTTACGACTAATAAGTGGACCAGGATCGGGAACTCGTCCATGAGTTGACATGGATCACGCCGCCTATCCGTGTGCTAGAATACTTCGTATTGCGTGTGCTCTCTCTCGAGCGACAAGTCATACCATGCAAGCAGCCATCTTCGGTTGTAACACAGGTATGATCACATAATTTATAGTTCATTTCTTTTTCAATTTCTCATCTTTGGAATTGTTTACATGTCATTGTGGATACAAACCGACTTATACAGGCAGGACAAAGTGTAATGCTGACATGTTGTCTTAGTCCTTTCAGGAAGTTGTCTATGGTTGGTTCACTTAACAAATAACTCCAAGAATAGTACGTTTAGTGTATTCAACAGCATACGACTATATCTATCTACGAAACGTATAGTAACATGTTTAGCCGTTTTAAGCTTCTCGTGAAAATCGAAGAACTTGGGGCCTCCCTCATCTCACAAGGACATGCCATCTTTGGTAAAGGGCCTCTCCGAATTCCACGTGGAAGCAAACAAGAAGACATCGATGCCACCGAAAGCCGATGCGCTGTTACGGTGTTCGGACATGCAAGTCACCAACCTGTTATCGAAGGAAGTGGTGACGCCGTGAAAGCGATGATGACGAGGAAAAAATCACGAAGGTTAAGAAAAGCTGATGTTGAGAGATGTGATTTGAGGAAACCGCCGTTCATGTTACTCAAGAGTGGACACAATGACTAGACGTCCCTGTGCTTTTTCGATGGCTTGCCCAGACACTATTTCTCTCAGCTCTGCGGCTGTCTTCTCAGCTAACCGACGACGTCATCAAGCCACAGCTGATATTCTCGTTGATTGTCTGTTCAGCGTGCAAATTTTCACGACATTAACCTAACGGTATCAGTCTGAGAGCTGAAGGATTACTTTGATGGCGTTGAGCCCATAATCCTCTGCCAGAGCAGTCCCACCGACAAAAGGTTGCGAAACGAGCACGGGCATTTACCTGCATGTGCAAAGTGCGCTCGCATCGAAAAGAACGCAATCGCCTTGGAACCGGTCCTTTCAACAACTGACACTATGGACTGTGCTCAGCTGAATCAAATTTCCGCCCCTATGCAAGAAAGGGCAAGGTAAGTGAATACGACACATAGAAAATAGTCCAAAGAAGAGACGCCCGAACAAGGATCAGAATCCCATTTGTACCGAGGGCCAATTGCCGGTATCAGAGGCGTCTTTGGCCTTGGTCTTCGTCCAAATGAACCCTTGCTGCGCCCCCTGTCGTGTCTAAGCCAAGACAGCTTTAGCCCACTTGTCCGCCGAGAAGAGCGCGCTACTCGTAAAATTATACGGAGCTGCGGGTTGAAGCTCACCCGAGGAACTAAGAGGCGAATCAAAGATTGCCGGAGAAGAAAAAAAATGAGAGAAAAGAAGACGAAAAAGACTGGGGCGGTTGACAGGGCTGATGGAAGAGAGAAAAGAAGAAGAGCGTATTCGCCCAGATCGAGAAGCTGGGTGCAAAACATGTCCACTCTTGTGCCAACTGGAACTAACACTATAATCACGCTGCTCTTTGCTCTTGAAACGGCTGTTCAACAAAGGTGTTCGACTAATCATTCACGAGAATAAATTTCGTGTCATGTTACGTTGCTGAGGGAGCCATTCCAGCAGCCGTCTTCTGACTCCGCCTCTTGCTGCCTGGATACGATACTTGGCAGACATCTCGGCATCTCAAGTTAGACGAGTATCCATAATGGCTAAGGTTGGCATACGCCTAGCTCGAGTTGTCCGTCCCTAGCTCCCCCTTTTTTCTCATATCTTGCATCTATTCCCGATACTTTCTTTCCTCTCTTTTCTCTTTGCCGAAGTAGCCTAAACAAGTGCAGTTCTCGAATCTGCAGCCACTCGTTTCTTGTTCACCACTCTTTTCCCTCTGCTCAGAGGTTGCCAAACCAAGGCCTAACTCGCCGCGGACCAACTCATCATGGATTCATTCCAAGATGTTTCGGTCCCCCAAATCGTCACAAAGGGCCGCCACACCTCATGGCTTCGCATGCTGTTCCACGTTGCTGGCTGCTTGCTCTTTACTCCCCTTTATTGGGCTTTTGCCATTCACTGTCGTTACCCTGTCACGCTAGATCTCATCTTGACTATCCTCCTCACTGAACTGAATCGACTGGTCAATGAAGGCCGAAGGCTTCAGTTCTATGAAGAGGATCCAGAGCCAATGACGCCCCCTCTGGATGAGAAGTCTGATTATGGCTTTTTCGATGAAAAGAAAGTAGGCTTCTCGGAGACGGAAATTGTACTGCAGTCGAGGCTGGACAGCATGGCTGCGGTGGTGGGATGGCGCGAAGATCCTGCTTTGTTTACCAGGGCATTGGAGAGCTACAAGAGCGCCACGCATTGCAAGTTTATGCTTGTTGGCATTGACGGAGACGACGTGCCTGACCAGGACATGGTCGACGTCTTTAACAGTGTAAGTCATCATGGTTCATATCTAAAGACACCAAAACCACTAACACGAGTGAACCCGCTAGGTATATCCCACCCAGTCAAAGGTCATCCATGTTCCTCGGCCTCTTGGCGAGGTGGCAGAGCAGTTCATTACCAAGCATATTTCCATCTGCAAACAAAACGGTCAACCAGTCAACATGAGCGAGTGCCATGAAATTGCCATTCGGCACTGCTTCCAGCTTGTTCGAACCATCCTCGAGCAGGAAAAGATCGACCTCGCCCATGTACGCCATCTGTGCCTCCGCCAACGTCACATGCACAAGAAGGGCATCATGTTCACCACATTCATCTTTGCTCTTGTTATCGCTGACGTCCTGGGCATCGAGTTCCTCTGGTCTTCCGACTCGGACACTCTGGTGTTCCCCGGCTCTATCCATAAGACCGTCGACGCCATCGCCCACGACCCGACCATCGGCGGTGCCAGTTCCGGCCTCGTCGTCCACAATGGATACGAGACCACTGTTACGAATCTCGCCGCCACCGTCTACTGGGGCGAGCTGTATCTGACCCGTTCAATGCCTGCTTTCACCGCCACGAGCGACTGCCAGAGCGGTCCCAGCACCGTATTCCGTCTCGCCGCAATGCCCGCGATCCTGATCCCCTGGTATCTCCAGAAGCTGATGGGGAAGCGCATGATTATCAACGAAGACCGCCATCTCACCACCAACCTCCTCCTGCGCGGCTGGGGCGTGGTGTTTGCTTCCGACGTTCTTACTGCTACCGACACTCCTACGACGCTGGCACGCTGGCTGAAGCAGCAAGTCCGGTGGGCGCGCGCCACACACATTGAGTCCTTGTTGCAACCCAAAGTCTACCTCATCACGCACCCCCTTCTCTTCTATAGCATGAGCAAGCGCGAGTTTGGCCCCATCATCGCCTTTGTCGCCACCATGTGGTACTTTTTCACCGGCGAGCGACTCATCATCGTCTTCGTCTCCGACCTGCTTGTGCGTATCGTGGCCAGCGCCCTGTACAACCTCTTCCGCAACCCGCACCGCCTGGAACGCGCCTCTCTCAAGTGGATCGTCCCCGGCATGTTCTTCTACCACCTGCCGCTGCCCGCCGTCCACGTATGGAGTCTGTTCACCCTGACGGCCGACGGCTGGGGCACGAGCATGCGCAACAGCAGCGAGATGGCAAAGAAGGACAGCGTCAGACAGGCGTGGTGGGAGACGGGCTTCTTTGTGGGCTGGATGGGCGTGGTGGCTGGTTGTGTGGCCAGATGGGTGGCGACGCGCAACGAGATGCAGGAGAGGGAGATTTTGGCGGCCATGGTGGTGAGTTTTGCGGCGGCGGCTGCGGTGGCCTGGAGGTTTACCATCCACCAAACGTCATGACGATGATGAGGAGGATGATTTTGAGATGGAGAGAGAAGTTGAAGTGGTATACAATTTATAGATGGGTGCATGTGATGCTACGGTGCATCCCGGACGGTGAATTCATGGATAACGGGCAACGGACGCTTTGCACAAGCGCCGGTAATGACTTTTATGTATAGTAGTATGAATTAGTAGTAATATCTTAGACACGATAGAACAAGCGATGCCATTTTGTTGAGACGCGAGACCCGAGACCTCAGAACTGAGACTTGCAGAGTGATGTGTCCTGTCTGAGTACGCGTTGAGTGGTTCTGATAGGACACGCTGAGACACGACTTTGACGCGGCTTGTAGTAGGTAGTAATAAAGATGCGGATCAACCCACTTGTAGCCCGGTATGACATAATTCTCTGAGTGCGCTGTTGTCTCTCTACACGGTGAATAGACTAAGAAGAAGGGAGGAAGAAAGTGAGACAACGGTTGACGGCTGTTTTTTTTTATTTATCTGCTGCATTGACCGGCAACTTTTGTTTCTTTCTTTCTTTCTTTCTTCCTCTTCCATCTCTCGCCTTGAACCTCTCGGCTCTCCTCCATCTCACAACACTTACAAACCTACTCTCCTCTCACAACACTCACAAAATACCATCTCAACAAACCACCACAGAAAAAAAAAAAAAAAAAAGCATGGCTCCCGTCCCATCCCCCGAAGTCCGCGCCAACATCGCCGCAAAGATTGACGCCCTCATCCTGGCCGTCGAGAAAACCCCCGACTTCACCCGCTCGACGTCCAGCGGCGGGCTGTACCACGTGTGGGACTTTGCTCATCGCACGCAGTACATGCTCTTTGAGGTGGACGGCATTCGACGGGAGGGGTATGAGTTTAAGCAAGCCGGGCAGATCAAAATCAGTGAGTCTTTCTCCTCCTTCTTTCTTCTTCTTGAAACATGTGCCGTTTGAAATTGCAATCGAGGGAACGTGTGCTGACAAAAGGGAACCTGTAGCCAAGCGAGGTGAAGCTGCTGCGGAGGAGCTGTATGACGATACTTTTACTCGCTCCGTCACGCTCGACCAGCTTATTAGCGGTCCGCCGTTGATGCGCAACATGATGGGCATGAACGGAGAGGTTTCGCCCGAGGTTCGGGCTGCGTCGAAGGCGGTTGTGGATGCTTTCCCGTAGGAGTTTTGAGATTTGAGAGGAGCTAATGGTAGTTTCTTGGGAGATGAAGACCGGGGGGGTTTTTTTTTCCTCCAGCTAGATGATGAGGAAGCTGATGCAAAGAATTCCATACCCTGTTTTTTTTTTGGACTAGAAGATGGAAGGTTGAGTCCTGGCTTAGATGGGATGGTGATATAGATGCCATATTGTAGACGAGGTATATCGTTGTTGCTGATTTCGCTGGACGGCATATACACTACGGATCCAATCTAGTTCACAGTTCTCCTTGGACTCCTCCACGCCATCATTTTTTATTCATTGATATGTAGAGTGTAACTTGTGTGAGTAGCGAGTGTATCAAACAAGCCAATTTCCCCCATCCAATCCCCATCTAAAGAAAACCCAGTACACAGCCATATATCTCCATCATCATCTTCATCCATCCACCCAAAACCGCCTCATCACCCGATCCGCATACTCCTCGCTCATCCCCCAATTCCCAACCGCGTCCTCAATCCCCCTCTCCATCCTCTCCACGTACTCCTCCTTCGGCCTGCCCTCCGCCACGCGCTGCCTATCCACATACGCCAGCACCTTGACCGGCGTCAACTCCTCCCCCGCCCGCTGCTCCCCGTCAGCCCTGTCCGTGTTGCTCACCCACGAGGCCTCGATGTGAAGCTTTTCGTAGGCCCACGGGACGCCCTCGTGCTGGTCCAGTCGCTCCTCGTCTTCTACCGGTAGGAGGTAGAGCATGCCGTATACTTGGCTCTCTTCTTGTACTTGTTCCGCGTCGTCTTCCATCCTGCTTTTCCACTTCTCGACATTCTCATCATCGTGCTCTTCTTCCCTCACAATGTTTGCATATCCCCTCGCGTTGATAATCCACCGCCACCCCGTGACTTTGCCCAACCCGACAGCCGTGGAATACGGACATCGCCGCCGCATCTGCTCTGTCGACAAGTTGCTTCCGTACGCGAAGTAGAGAATCTCGCTCCTGTTCTCGTCCGTGATGGTCAGCGTGCTGTCCTGCGAGCCCTGGCTCCCCTGTGACTCCATTTCGTCCTGTAGCTGTATCTTGTGTCTTGCGTTTGTGCTTGTGTTCCTCTGTGTGTCTGTGTAATAAGACATGTGTGAAAGATGACTCTTGTTTGTCTCAGTTGTGTTGGACCAAATACAGTAAGTACTCTTGCGCCCAATAAAAGTAATTCGTCGCACAAATAATGAAATATTGCAAAACAATTCCCCCCCAAAAATCCCCTCCAATATATCTTGATAAGAGAAATCGATCAGCTTCCATGCAAGGCTGTCTGCCAAAAAAACGCCCACCCAGCGGGAGGCCTTTCACAGTGAACGTTGGATGAGGGATGCAAGGCTGTGCTGCGCGCACGGCCACCCCGAAACAAGGCGAACCACGGAAATTAATCAATCGATAAAGGAAGAAATCCTTGAATTAAAAAAAAAAAAAAAAGACTGCAAAGATGGAACTTGTACTCTTTACTTTCTTTTTCCCAATTTTTTTCTTCTTAATAACAACTCGTTCGTTAACCGAAGGAGGCGATGAGGAGAACAGTCGAAAAGGACAAGAGGTACATGGGTGTGTACACGGTCAGCAGACTCTGGTCCAGGCAGCAAGGCAAGTCACTGCAGTGGTTCCCCGTGTCCTGCATGTACATGCAGTAGGCGACAAAGACAGATAAATAGTCCGCGGCTGACTTCTATTTCCATCTCCATCTCTATTACTATTGCTCTTCTTCTAACCCTTGTTTTGCGGGATGATGTTTGCCAGCCTCTTTCCCTTGGTGGTATTCATTGTTGGCTGGACTTTTGTATTTCATCAGTGCAGAAACCTAACAAGGATCGACGTCCTACCTATGCAAAGGCTGGTTATCAACTCTCACAATGACACAAGATATCACGCAGATCACAACAGCACAGCATTGCCTCAGGTATCAAATCATCATCATTCATGCAGGTTTCATATAATACACTTCTTTAGATGCTCATGATATCACTTCCTCCCCCCCCCCTCTCAATGCTTCGCCCAGGCATTGCCCATTACCACCACAGCCCTTGCGCGGGCTGCCTCCAACCAGTGAGGCCTCACTCTCTTCGAGCAAATCCCATAACTCATTTTTTTCATAATTGCAAAAAAGACACAACAAGCAGACGAAAAAAGAGAAGAGAAAAAACGAATCCCATGCCCGCCTCCATATATGATGTAATAATATCCTTCTCACATCACCCGCGTTTTGCGTCTATTGATAATTTGTTCTTGTGATAGTGCCTGCCTTGTTGAGTCCCTGGAAATGCGGAGCAAAATTAAGAAAAGAAGAAGGAAAAAGCGAAGAAAAAAAGATGAAAATAAAAGGCGGAGAAAATAGTAGAAAGCAAGATTTCAAGTAATCTGGGCGAGGAAAGGACTGAGCATCAGGTCATCGGCGCTTGGCCGCAGGTTGTGATCCAGCTCAAAGGTCTGGCCCAGGAACGTCTTCGCATCGTCACTAGCATGCTCCGGTATGGTGGGAGTTGCTTTCCCGCCACCGATCCTGAAAATGGCCTGCAGCTGGCTGCAATCCGGGAACGGGTGCGAGCCCGTCATCATCTCCACTACCAGACACCCCAGAGACCAAATGTCAGCCTTGCGCGTGTATGAAGTCTGCTTGACCACCTCGGGCGCCATCCAAAACACCGACCCCTGAAGGGAAGGTCGGTGCTTGTTGTTGGCGGCTCCGTTGAGGATGTTGGACGCCTCCAGCTTCTTGGAGATGCCAAAGTCGGAAATCTTGATTGTGCCCTTGTTGTCCACCAGGATGTTGGCGCCCTTGATGTCTCGGTGGATAATGTCCATGTTGTGCAGGTACGACAGGCCCGTCAAGATCTGCCTCACAAAGCTGCGCACCAGGGGTTCGGGCAGGGCGCCATACGAGTTGAGCATGGTCTGGACCGAGCCGCCGGGGACGTACTCGAGGAAAATGTTGAGGTGCTCGGCAGAAGAGCTGCAGCCCAGGTATTGCACAATGTTGGGATGTCGCAGCTCTCGGAGCAGGCTGATTTCGCGCTTCAGGGCGTCAATCATGCTCTTCTTTCGGCTGTCGTTTTGGCTGTTTGCGCCGGGCGCCGGCATCTCGACCTGCTTCACGGCCAGGAGCTCTCCCGTCACCGCGTGCAACGCCAGGTACACGCTGCCAAAGGATCCCTGTCCAATCAGGGCTCCCTTCATCCACTTGTTATCGTCCCACGAGTCTCCGGCCAGGAAGCTCTCCAGCTCTTCGTCAGCCTCGTCCTCGTCCTCGTCGAGGGCCTGCTGAACTTCTTGGAAGGAGCCGGAGCCGGTGGACCCGTCCGCATCGTAGTAGCTGGTGCTTGTCGTGTTGCCTTCGGGGTCGGTGACGCTGAGGCCGGTGGTGTCGCTTGCGTCCGAAAACGAGACGTAAGACTTCCGGTTCGGCTCCGTGGGCGACGACGCCTCCTCTTGCAGAGTCCCGAGCATCGACGAGGCAATCGAATCTCTGCTATAAATCGTTGGGGCTCGCCCGCCCTGGAGACGAAGTTTAGCCACATGGGCGCTTCCACCCAGCCAAGAGTCCGCAATGGTAGGGATGGGAGGGGCATCCTGGATGCTCGAAGCAAAGCTCAAATTGCTCGCCACGCTAAGTCGGCTATTGATCTTGCTCAAGCGGGTGGACCTTCTCATAGAAAGCCTGGCGGTCCGGTCAATGTCCTCGCGGGCGTGGTCGGGGAAGTACGATGTCAGATCCGATGCGATGAGCTCGCTCGGCGGCCGGAGTCCCCCAAACTGCCGGAGTCCTACCTTTCTCAGCGGGTTGCGATCGGGCGAGGAAGGTCGGTCCAGCTCTCTATACGCATTCGCCGTGTTCCGCTCTCGGGCTGCAAAGGAGATGGGGGACAGGGGGTTTTGAAGCTTCTCGTTCCAGCTCTCGCCCAAGACTTTCTGTACCTTGATCTGACTCCTTTTATCCACGCTCTCCAGCGCCCGCGCGTGCTTCTGCTGTTCTTCTTCCAGGGCAATGCCGGCGGCGCGCTGCAGCTCTGCCTCGCCGGGCTCTCCAGCTGGCACTCTTCTGAGAATCAAGCGGTTCCTCTCCGGCCTCCGCTGGTCCTTGATGATGCGCCAGAGCTCCGTGTCGCCCAGTCGACGGCACTGGCTGGGATCGGCATCTATGCCGGTCAGGACCCAGAAACAGTAGTTTCGCTCATGATCTTCGCGGAGACCGAATTTGCGCAGAGTGACACGCATGACGTCCTCACAGGTGTTGCATTCGGCAATCTTGACAACCTTTGTAACGCCGCCGGTGGAGATGACGCGGATAATGTGCTGGCCCTGAGGCAGGGTAGCCATGAGGGAGCCGTCTAAGCTGGAGTTGTTCCGCGTGTGAGCTGACATTAGGCGACCGCTTGAAGTATTGGGTGCCGGATTCTGGCTCCCGTGAGCTGCGTAGCCTCTACTGGTGGGATATTGCTGCGGCAGCTGTTGCTGTCGTGTTCGCACATCTGGTGGCTGGGGAGAAGTAGATCTTGAAGTAGGTCTTCCGTGGTCGGAGGCGCCGGCGCCAGACAAATCGACCTGCCTCGAGTAGCGCTTGTTGAGAGACGGAGTAGGGGCGGATCGTGCGTTGGAGGCCATAGCAGAGCCGCCATGGCTCTGCATAGGGAGGATGTCTAGCCCAGCAAACGAATCCTATAGGCGGGGAGGGAACTGTCAGTAACTGTCGCCTTTCCTCTGCCCAAACACTGAGTGCACAAGGGGAAAAAACTCACCCTATTTCTCTTCTTTTGGTTGGCATACGCCTTTGTTCGCAGTTTCTTGATGCTGAGGAAGAGGCGCACACGGTCGCCAACCTTGTCAATCCCCATTTCTTTGAGGACTTCTTTGTCCATCTCCAGCAGGTTTTCGCCATTGATGTGGTTCTTGCGGAACAGCTTTTCGTATTCCCCACACTTGACGCTGGCGAGATAGTCGCAGACCCTGTCCTCGTCCCAGTTCTTGACGGAATCTGGGCCGTCCGAGTCGGAGAAGTCTGACTCTGTCGGGCTGGAAAAGCCATGCGAGTTGCCAGTCATGGCGGGTATTCTCCTCGACGTTGGTAGGCCGGAAGAGTAGTCGCTTGCGACCATGGTTGAGCCTCCTCCTAGAGGGGCGGGATACGTGGATTTGGCGAGCATTGCCATCTTTGCTCTCTCTTTTTTTTCTGTCTTTCTTAATTTGATTTGAGAATTGTAAGATTTAAAATGTCGGTCTCGGCGAGAAGGATGATGTGCTGTGCTTCGATTGCAAACGCGACCCGCGGTGCTTGCAGTTGCCGAGCGTCACTATCGTCGTTGGGCTGATGGTGCGATGCGTCTTGCGTCTTCGCCCGTAGCCAATCTTCAGCTTCTTCTTCTTCTTCTTTTTTCTTCTTCCACCGTCAAATCAGGACCCAGAGCTTCAGGGCCACCTCGTCCGTGGTTGCTGCGGTCGTCACGACACAGGCTCCCGGCTGAAGTCGACCGACAGCGTCGAGAAGGGGGGAAAAGGGGAGCAAGCTGGGAGGTTAAAAAGAATCAAGGCCAAACAGGAACGAATTGAGCCAGACGAGAAAATAGCGGCCAGGCGGGGGCGCTTCTCCTCCTAGGGTATGGATGTGAGCAGGTACTCGTACAGTACAGCACTCGTAGATGGGCGATTGGTGGCGATTGGCCACGGCGGGACCCCCCTGTAACCTCGTGGAAATCAGCACAGATGCGCTAAAAAGGTGCGCTGAAGAAGCGCAGCTCGGCAGTGCAAGTACAAGAGGTGCTACTCGTACCTGCAACCTGCAACCTGCAACCTGCGACACAGCTGCGACGACAAGCTGAGATTGATGGACTGCCATCCCGCCGAATTCGTGGAAGGCTTCTGATGAAAGGAGCGTCAGTCCCGGCATCTGCGGTTTGCTATAGACGCCTCCGGTACTCGTACCTGTTGACCTGTGCCTGGGCCGGGCGCTAAGAGGTGGCTACCGGCGCTGAGGCATGTACAAGTACGAGTACCCGTGCATCACCATCCATGGCATGGATATATTCAGAAGGGGACTGGACTCAAACAAAACAATGGACAAACCGGGTCACAGGCCGTCGTCCTTAATGCCGGGCGCTGAAGTGACGAGCAGCCTGATTCTGACGCAAACAGAGCATCTAATAATACTACTACTACCTAGGTACCTAAGTATCATGGCTACAATATGGTACATGTGCATCCCGCCGAGAAGATCAACTCTCAGCTATTCTGGGCACCCATCCACGCCAGACTCCATGGGTCGATGTATGTCCGGGCACGGTACAATTACATGCTCTACAAGTACATGCCCAATTATAAATTCCCAGCCGTCAAATGTTATCTCGCACACCAGTCTATACGCATACAAGCAGCAGGATCGTATCCGCGCTGGCCTACTGGAAATGGATCAGCCCCGGTGTCCAAAGTGAGATTCGCTCCCGAGGTGCAGTCTGTGCTCTACATACGAGCAGTCCTACTAGCATTAATATAAGCCATCCCGGAGCCCCGTATAACTAGTACTAAACATATTGAACAAGTAAAGAATAAACCCTATGTATGTAGTTGTCTTGGTAAGAACACTGTATATAGATGGAATACCACCCAAAACCATACCTATCATTCAAGCATCTTCTATTTTTGTCATTGTGGAATTCAACCCTCTTTCATCGCCTTTTTTTTTCACTCTCTTCTGCCTCCTGCGAGCCATTTCCAAGGGTCCCATGTGGGCCTCGCGCATTGGCTCCACGACCCCTGTGAGCTCTGGCGCGCGTCATTGGTCCGCCATCTGCGAAACGTGAAACCAGCGGCGTTTCGAAGTTTCATCTCGCACCCACCGCATTTTGGTGGCTCGTCCATCGTGTGGCCCGTTGGGCCAAAGCGTCGATACGGGGGGGCAGAAACGCCTTGCTCGCACCAGAAAACCGCATCCAAAGGTGCTTGCTTGCTTGCTTGCTTGCCTTTCGCTACAGTGACTCGTACAGCACTGCACAGCACAGTTACAGTTACAGTATAGTGTCGACACATGGAAGAGGCTGATGAAGCGGTCTGGTCTGTCCGTTCACCAGGGCCACCAACAGAGTTGCAAGTACGAGTGAGAACAAGACGAACGAACCCTGCGCCGATGACGACTTGTTCAGGACCCCCAGCAGGTGATTTTCCGATTTCCATCACGCGCTAGCAACCCGCCGATGCCCTGTCACCAACCTGTTGCCTCGTCCCTGAACTCGACTCGACTCGACTCGAACTCGACTCGTATGCTTACGGGAGCTTGACGGCGACTCGCATTCATCCATCTGCTGATCGGCTGCTGGCATCCCTCGGACTGACCTCATTGCTTCTAGAACGTCGGGGGTGTCGGCCTTTGCTCCAAGGCAGCAAATCAAGGCTGCAGCCTGGCTCTGTTCGCTGGCAGTGCATGCGCAAGACTGCACGCCTGACGAGGCAAAATGCGGCCTCTCTCCTCTCCTCTTCGTGTGCAATTTTCATTGCATGTGCTCGTACCCATCCATGTAAACACTCTATACTCGATGTACTCGTACCACCACCTCCTCCCTACTACCTCTACAGTATGATGGAAGTACATGTAGCAGCAGCATTCAAATGCAGTAGTATCATGCGCAAGTAAGGCATTGAAGTGTTAATGGATGTTTCCACTCGGAAAAGCGCCCGTCCAGTCAAGAATCCATTCAGCATGCGTGTGTACTCGTACTGTACACGTACATACATGGCCCGGCAATCCAGCCCACGATGCCCTCAACTGCAATTCGTCGGCACAATGTTTCACATGGTGACAGCCCGGCGCTTGAAACACTGCACCAATCACGCAGCGGCTCTTGACCGGGCCGACGCGAATCAATCCATCCTTGCCGGGATGCCTGGAGAGCTGGCATACAAACAAGTGGAATTGCCGCAATCAACCCCAAACGGCGGACACCCTCACGTTGCGCCCTCGTGATGCGTATCACTCTATTCGTCACAGCGCCTTGTTATTGGGCCGGCGGAACCACAGATGGACGTGATATCGATCCGTCACAGTCACGGCGCCTTGATCTACGAGTACAGTATCTTGGCCTAATAATAGCTGCTTGTGTCTCAAAGCAGGACAGATGTTTGCCATGCACGAAAAGCTGCTATAGCCAAGGTTATCTATGGATGGGAAATTCTGCACCTCTCGTCCTCTTACTAAGGCAAGTAATAAAAGGTGGCATGCAGAAATATCCATCCATCGTGCCACACCCATCTTGTAATGCAAATGGTGTTTAGCCCAGATTTAATCAAACCCCCCCAAATCTTACTGTACATCATTCTCTGTAAGCTACCTACTCAAAAAGCTTGCCTCGTAAGCTCGTCCACAGCTTCTTCCAAGCTTTCCGCGACCATCGCAGCTGAAATCGTTGCTGCTCCAGCTCGTAGATGGCGTCTTTTACGACCCCGCGATAAACCAAAGTCGCGCGCTAACATGTTTGCACCAAATGCCCGCGCATCTCCGTTAGGGAGCGACGCCGGCTGAGAAACCGGTTTTGACATGTCGCAGTCATCCTTATGTCAGGCACCACAAAAGAGCTTTGGACAAGCTCTCGAGCAGCTCTCTTTACGCTTTCATCTTATTTTTCTCTTCATATTGTTGGCATCCTGGATAGCGACGTTGGCAAGCGCGAGATTCCGTGATACGTCGGGGATATCCACTTTCATTGGTGGCCGTAAATCCGATCTTCGGCACCTGAGCCCAAGCTATTTGAACTGAAGCTTTCTGGCGGTGACAAGCCGCAGCTCTCCGGACGTCAGCTCTCGAGGTACTCCTTGTGAAGGGTCAATTGAATCCCACATAGCCTGCTAGATCTGTGATTCCGTCATGGAGTCAATCCAGAGGCCCGTTGTCAGCTTTCTGGGCCCTATTGCCTCATATTCGCATCAGGTACAATTCCCCATCCCGCGCCATGGATATCAAAGGATAAGGCTAAACCAAAGCCCGTCACATAGGCAGTCCGCCAGGTGTTTCCAGAATCCACATGGGAACTGAGGCCTGCGGCAACGATAGATGGTATGCAATCAAGCCAAGAGATAGACGAAGCTCTGTGTGTTCTGACAATACGTGACCCCCTCAGATGTCTTTGACCAGGTTCAATTCGGAGAGGTAAAGGCCGGCGTGGTCCCCATTGAAAACTCTACAAATGGCTCCGTCGTCTTCACCCTCGATAATCTCGCCGACCGCAATGGCCGGTACAAAGACATTACCGTCGACGGCGAGATCTTTGTCGACGTACATCACTGCCTGGTGGGACACAGAAATCCATCCCCCGTGCTGGAGCTGGAAGACCATGGAGACGGGTCGGGAACCAGCACTCCTACTCTCACGGACCCGCGCCCGTCGAAACCAAAGTCAAAGCCCCTCGCCAATCTGAGACACATCAAGAGGCTCTACTCTCACCCTCAGGCGTTTGGCCAGTGCAACGCCTTCATCTCGACGTACCTCAAGGGCGTTGAGATTTTCGACGTCAGCTCGACCAGCAAGGCTGCCGAGATTGTAAGCCAGGACACGACCGGCACTTGGGCGGCCATTTCCAGCGAGCTTGCCGCCAATCTCCTTCAAGGTCTGGACATGTTGGCCAAGTCCATCGAGGACCGTGACGACAACACCACCCGCTTCCTCATCATCGGAAAGAACACGACTGTGCCCAAGGACTGGAATCTGGTGAAACAGTCGGTGGGAGAGGCTAGCACCAGGACCCTGATATCGTTCACGGTGCCGCACACGTCACCGGGAGCCCTGGCCGAGGTTTTGAGCGGCTTCAAGGCCCATAATCTAAACCTCACGAGCATCAACAGCAGACCTAGCCTGTTGGCTCCGTTTCAGTACATCTTCTTCATTGAATTCGAGGGCAGCAAATACGACGACCCAGATGGAAGAGTAAGGGGGGCGTTGGATAACATTGATCGGGTCGCGCACAGCTGGAGATTACTTGGGAGCTGGGAAAGGTACAAGTAGCTACTCGTATTCCGGCGAGGTAGTATAGCAGGGATGAACAAGACAAGACCCGAGGAGAGCCTTGTCTTACCAAAAGGCTTCCCAACTAAGTTATTGCGAGGCGACTACTGCATCTACGTGACCAACGTAAGATTAGTACATGTAGGCTGACGAGCCCTTTATCCCTCTCCCGAGGGCCAAGGCCGCTTGACCGCCATAAGAGTGAATGGTTGAATCCTGGCCGCTCGTCTTACTGTACTCGTAATCATTGTGACGGTTTTTGCATGGAAGGAAAGAAAATAGATCATTTGGAGGGCAAATGCATTGGTACACATACCTGGGCATTGTGCCTGGCATGTGAGATGAGATGTACGGACCACAGAAATAGCCGCGAGACGAGCACTTCAGCCCAACACAAGAAAGCTGTCAGTTCGGATCAACAGCCCGACAACTTCGATGGAAATGCCGCCTTGAACCGCGGCCAGCAATGACGTGTAACACTCCTTTAGCCTTGCACATAGTCGTGGTCCTGGCTGTCCACGGCCAATGAGAGGCTGCGGCGACTCCCAGCGTCTTTTCGGACTGTCGGCGTGGGGCCAACAGAATCTTGGTAGGGATCGATGGAAAATCTCGCCGTTTTTGGGGAACCCGGCAGCTAAGCAAAACGACATTGTGGAGGTTCTTGTCCGCTTCTGCTTTCCGTGCGGAGAGATGCGGCAAATCCTTCAAATCTTGAGGGAGATGATGGGTGATGGGCGAAGAAGGCTCGAGATCGCACGGCCCGTCTCACTCACCCTCGTCACGTCTAAGACAACCTATCACGTTAGCCAGCTCGACCACGATCCAACCTCCATACTTGAGCTCGGTGCTGAACTCCCCAGCGAGTTCTTTCTTCCTTTCCCACCCTTCCCGTGATCAATTCGCCTCGCTTGGGAATGACTTGCAGCAAAAGAAAAGGAACCGGGGCACCGGTCTAGCGCCACCAGAGCCCACTCAAAAGCCATTGGTTCAGTCCCCTCGGCCCTTTGAACCATGGCTTTTTCTGTTTTTTTCAAGTGAAGAAACCATGACGTCGCAGAACCAAGGCCGGCCCTCGAAACGGTAGCCAAGGGGGTGAATGGCGACAGGCCTTGTAGGGCTCCTCCGCAAGGTACGGGTGGACCGGGGGCCCGTAACGAGTTGGCTACATTAGCTTGGAGCTGGGCCTTTGATGGTTTGATGGGCGAGGCTCCGTTGCAGGCATGTGAGTGGTGATCTTGCGGACGCTTGAGCCGCCGCCTGGGGAATTGATCCAGAAAAGCGGCAAGGTTTCGGTCCCTCGGGCGTGTGGCTGCGTTGGAAGTTGGAACGAAGAATGCCGGTGGGCAGTTGTTCAGGTACTGCGAGACACCCTCCCCCTCTCCCCCTCCGAGCGATGGTCCGAGATCTCGAGTGTACATGTGTATATATAGGTGTATATCATGCCTGCTATTTCTCCCCCTGTGAGATTTCAAGCCCCGTTGACTTGTTGTGCTCCATCTCCAAACTCTATATGTCTCTATAATTGACTTGAAAATACAATTTTATCATGGCTCCTCGACCAATTTTTGCTGCCACTCATCCCAGGGCCTGTTCAACGGCCTTTGAAAGGGTATGTACACACCACACCATACTCTTCTTCCATAGAGGAAACGAGAAGCTCAACTGACGAGATGCTCCTGTGCAGGTGTTCATGGCCCGTCGTGATATCCTCGAGTGTGGGCACGAGCCGTTCGGTGATGCCTTTTACTTTGGCCCAGAGTTCTTGAGCGACCGGTTCAGGGACGATGCGTCTTATCGCGAGAACACGGAATACTGCAACACCACTTTCAAGGATGTCTTGGAGAGTCTCGCGGATGCGGAAAAAGAGGTTCGAATTTTCCTGTGTGAGAGAGTATCCTTCCTTTGATCGAGGGTGGATGGTTTCCAAGTGGAAGTCTCCAAGCCCATCTTGAACACCCTTTCAATGTCCATCTTTATAGTGGCCCTCGGTTGAATGTACCTTGAGAGGAGCAATTGGAATTGGAACAAGATGCGATACTTACACACACCAGGGCAAGCGTCTCTTCATCAAAGACATGGCATACTATCTGATGGCTCCCGATGACAAGCCATCGCAAATCGCACCCTCTCTCGGCGGCGGCAACGAGCCCGGCAATCCAACCGTCCTACCGGTCGACATCCTGAAGCGCTTCCACTTCACTTTTCTCATCCGCCACCCCAAGCGGTCCATCCCCTCCTACTACCGCTGCACAATCCCTCCCCTGAGCGAAATCACGGGTTTTGACTACTTCATGCCCAACGAGGCTGGATACCTGGAGCTCGTCCGGCTGCTGGACTTTTTGCTGGAGCGCGGAATCGTCGATAAACAACACATCACGGCCATTGACGCCGATGATTTGCTCGATAAGCCGGAGCCAATCATTCGCGAGTATTGTGCGCGCATTGGCATTGACTTCAAGCCGCAGATGCTCAAGTGGACCGAGGAGGATCGCGAGTACGCGCAACAGATGTTTGCCAAGTGGAACGGCTTCCACGATGACGCTCTCAAGAATTCCTGTTTCCAGGCGCGATCTCACGCCCAGGTAAGATGAGATACACGAATCTGTTTATAAATCTCACACGTTTTGCTTACTTTTTGGGATAGAAAACTTCGACGATTGAGTCGGAGAATAGGGAGTGGGCGGAAAAGTACGGGGTTGAGGCGCAAAAGGTTATTCGCCAGACCGTCGATGACAACATTCCTCATTATGAATACTTGAAGCAATTTTGCATTACGGTTTAATGAATCTTGGGACGATTGGGTATTGGGTAAAGGGAACATGCTTTGTTTTGTTTTTTAGAAAAACTCTTTTTGAGTGATTGGTCTATGATACAGTATATCGGTCTGGCTTATACGGCCCACCGAATTTTTTTTTAATATGTCCGTAATCAACGTCGCTTTTTGCAAACAAGATCTCTGTCCAAGATGCCTTTATCATGCCGTTACTAGTACATCTTCCTATAGCCTTGACATTTCGCTTCATGCCATGTGCCATCTCCTGGTTAAACCAACCCCCCATCGCTTTTTACGCTGCCGTCTTGGCGACCTGCTTTTCGGGCTCTCCCGAGGTGTATGTCGGAGCCTCAAATAGAGAATGAGTCACATTCTTTGACCACGATTCAGCGAACTTTTTATCCTGGTCGTTGGCCCAGCTGATTGTGACGTCGACCAGCTCCTTCTCGCCTCCTTCAGCGTCCGCAGTCAAGATCTTGTTGCCACGGCCCTCGCCCGCCAAAACGGACGCCATATCGGCAATCGCATTTTGTTTTTGGGCGTTGAGAGCGATCCCACGCTCCTGCTTGCTCCGGATGGGCTGGTAGTCGAATCCCCTTTCCTTCTCCTCGGCAATCTTCTTCTTGTCCTGGCTGGTGTACTGTTCCGGCCGCTTGTGTCGCAACTCGTCTGTCCACGCAACTTCGTGAAGGTGCTTCAGCTCTCGTAGCTTCTGAAATACTGAGCGGCCTACGGATCCTTGGCCAGGCTGGAATCGAATGTGGGCGAGCGGTGACCAGTAGTCTTTGCGAAGCTTTGCAGGCTTGGTCTTCTTGCCGTTGAAGGGCAGCTGCTTCAAGCCATGGAACCCCTATGACACCTAGTAAGATACTATGATACGGCAAGTTATAAACTGGAGACAAAAAGGGGGGGGACCAACATCCAATTGCTTGGTGAAGCTGTAAATGACCTGTTCTGATCTTCTGTGGGCAAACACCCAGATATTCTCTCCGTGGCCCTCGGCGTCGTTGGATCCTGCCGCAGCCCCTCGTGGCCGGCCCGTGTGTGCAAACCGCACTCCGGATCTTAAAAGGCCCAGCAATTGGCCCTGGCCGGGTCGCGAGGCGGAATTCATGGCTGCCGTCGTCTGGTTGAGCTGGTCGCACGATTCGTTTTCTATCACGAAAATCGCCAGAACAAACCGCTTTGCGCGGGTCATGTGACATGCGCACCAAGTTCGCCGAGCTGAAGTGCCTGCGCCGATAAGATCAGGCCGGCCAATCACAGGGCGCGCTCCCCACCTCGCGTCAGGCCTGCCACTAGGCTGCTAGCACCGTGCAGTGACGTCGGGATGAATCTTCCAGGTTCCAGTGACTTCTGGGCAGCTCGAGCTAGGCCTGGAGCTCGCTGGAAGCCTCCCGTCGCTGTCATTGTCTGCCCACCACCTGTCAGGCACTCCACCCAACCGCTAATAAATTGCATCCAGCAGTCCATGATCCGTTTCTTCCTTTCCTTGTTCTTCATCTTTACTCTCTACAGCAAAAGGCAGAAGAAGCCCAAGACTTGCAACCTCGTTTGCTTGCTTGCTTGCTAATCAACAACCAACTTGACGACGATAACGAACAAACACAAACAAACAACTGAACTGACTGATACCCCGCTGTTTGAATAGCAGCCCAACCTTTCTCAAAGCTATACATTGCATTATACCCAACCTCGATTACGCTGCTGCTACATCATCATCATCCTACCATCTTTCTACTACTTTCTACTTTCTACACTCTACATACGCTTCTCGACACACATTCGCCATGACTTCGCGAATGGACTTTACGGACCGTGCTCAAAAGGCCATCGAGGACGCCATGTCCATGGCTGAGCAGTACGGCCACTCACAGCTCCTACCTGTACACTTGGCCGTGTCTTTGCTGGAGCCCCCTGTCGACCAATCCAAAGACCAGCAGAATGGTCCTCCACAGACCACCGTCACTCTCTTCCGACAAGCCATCGAACGAGCACATGGAGATCCTCAGCTCCTCGACCGTGCGCTGAAAAAGGTCTTGGTACGGCTACCAAGCCAAGACCCTCCCCCTGATCAGGTCTCGCTGTCACCTTCATTCCACACCGTTCTGCGGAAGGCCCAGGAGTTGCAAAAAGTTCAAAAGGATACGTTCATCGCAGTCGACCATCTCATCACGGCTCTATCCGAGGATGTCGGTATCCAGGCTGCTCTCAGAGAGGGCAACATTCCCAAGCCCAAGTTACTTCAAGAAGCTGTCACCGCCATCCGCGGCACTCGGAGGGTGGACAGCAAAAACGCAGATACAGAACAAGAAAACGAGAACTTGGCCAAATTCACCATCGACATGACCGCCCTCGCGAGAGACAAGAAGATCGACCCTGTTATTGGCAGAGAAGAAGAAATCAGACGAGTTGTGCGAATCCTCTCTCGCAGAACAAAGAACAACCCGGTTCTTATTGGTGAGCCCGGTGTTGGAAAGACCACCGTCGTCGAGGGCCTGGCCCAGCGAATTGTCAATCGAGACGTTCCCGACAACCTCAAGGCCTGCAAGCTTCTCTCCCTTGATGTCGGTGCGCTGGTTGCCGGCAGCAAGTTCCGTGGTGAATTCGAAGAGAGAATGAAGGGCGTTCTGAAGGAGGTCACCGAGTCCAAGGAGATGATTGTTCTCTTTGTTGACGAGATTCACCTGCTCATGGGAGCCGGTTCGTCTGGTGAAGGCGGTATGGACGCTGCCAACTTGCTGAAACCAATGCTTGCTCGTGGTCAACTGCACTGTATCGGTGCGACGACATTGGCCGAGTATCGCAAGTACGTTGAGAAGGATGCTGCTTTTGAGCGTCGTTTTCAACAGGTTCTGGTCAAGGAGCCCACCATTCCTGAGACCATCTCCATCTTGCGTGGCCTGAAGAGCAAATATGACAGCCACCACAAGGTCAGCATTCTCGACAGCGCCTTGGTGGCCGCAGCCAATCTTGCTGCGAGATATCTCACCTCGCGACGCATGCCCGACTCGGCAATCGATCTCATCGACGAAGCTGCCGCAGCAGTTCGAGTCGCTAGAGAATCTCAACCCGAAATCATCGACTCTCTAGAGCGCAAGCTGAGGCAGTTCAAGATTGAAATCGCAGCTTTAGAAAAGGAACATGACGAGGCATCCCAGGTCCGTCTGCAGCAGGCGAAGAAGGATGCCCAGAATGTTGAAGAAGAGCTACAGCCCCTCCGCGAAAAATACCAGAATGATATCAAACGAAACGATGAAATCCATCAGGCCAAGGACAAGCTCGAAGATTTGAAGAAGCGACTTGAGGATGCCATCAATGCAGGAAACCACCAGCGGGCTGCCGATCTCAAGTACGGTGCTATTCTCGAACAAGAGGCACTGATTAAGAAGCTGGAGGACAAGAAGAATGCCGCTGATGTCGCGCTCAACGCAAATGGCGACACCAGCGTCATGGTCACCGATATCGTGACGGCAGATAACATCAATGAAATCGTCGCGCGATGGACTGGCATCCCTGTTACCCGACTAAGGACGTCGGAAAAGGAGAAGCTTATTCAAATGGAAAAGGTCTTGAGCAAGGTGGTCGTTGGCCAGAAGGAGGCTGTCCAGTCGGTCGCCAACGCCATCCGACTTCAGCGCTCAGGTCTCAGCAACCCCAACCAGCCACCTAGCTTCCTGTTCTGTGGTCCATCAGGTACCGGCAAGACGCTCCTTACGAAGGCTCTGGCCGAATTCCTGTTTGACGACCCAAAATCCATGATTCGCTTTGACATGTCCGAATACCAAGAGCGACATGCACTGAGTCGTATGATTGGTGCCCCGCCAGGATATGTCGGCCACGATGCCGGTGGTCAGTTGACTGAGGCACTTCGACGAAAGCCATTCTCAATCTTGCTGTTTGACGAAGTCGAGAAGGCCGCCAAAGAAATCTTGACGGTTCTCCTTCAGCTCATGGATGATGGCCGAATTACCGACGGCCAGGGCAGAGTCATTGACTGCAAGAACTGTATTGTCGTCATGACATCCAACCTGGGAGCTGAGTACCTTGTCCGCCCAGGCGTAAAGGAGGGCAGAGTCGATGCCAACACACGGGAGCTGGTCATGAGCGCTCTCCGCAACTACTTCTTGCCCGAGTTCTTGAACCGTATCAACTCCGTCGTCATCTTCAATAGACTGACGCGCAAGGAGATCCGCAAGATTGTCGACTTACGTATCACGGAAATTCAGAAACGGCTGGAAGACAATGGCCGCAAGGTCCATATCTTGGTCTCTGATGAGGCCAAGGACTACTTGGGCAACGCGGGTTACTCCCCGGCATACGGAGCTCGACCACTGGCTCGTCTGATTGAGAAAGAGGTGCTTAACAGGCTTGCCATTCTCATTCTCCGAAACAGCATTCGCGACGGCGAGACTGCCCACGTGGAGCTTGATGACAACAAGATTGTTGTGCTGTCGAACCATCCCGATAGCGGAACAGATGATGATGACGAAGACATGTATGACGAGGATGACGTTGAGGATGTGATTGGAGAGGACATGGACGAAGACATTTATGATTAAGCGGATTGATTCAGGAAACCAAGTTTGACCCAAAAGTTTTTTTTTTCTCAACGGGTATTTTCCTTTAGTCGTCACATACATGGCATACGGAGTTTTAGGAGGAATAAGGAAACGGTTCTTGGTTTGAGTGATTACTCAGAATGTGACCATCTATAATGTATCATAGCTAAAAAATGAAAATATTGTTCATTAAAAAAATTAAAACATGACTCCCCGTCCCAACATGCAGTGTTGACAATTAGTGGTATATGCAACGAAAGAAGAATGAAATCAGAAGCAAGATGTACTCGATCTTATTATATGAGACTCATCAAGACGCCGTCTTCTCCTGTCCAGCCGAAATCGTCCATGAACATGGACCAATCTACGTCTTGGAACGGATCACTGGCTGGCACATTGTTGGTCATTGGCTGATCTTGCGCGACAGTGTTTGTGCCTGAGCTTTGATCTGTACGAAATTCTGAGTTTTAACGTTAGCCTATAAGAAGCCTGAAAGGGCATGTGAAGAAGGGGGGGAAAAAAACTAACGAATAATCTCGAGACACTTGTTGACGCCGTCGGTGCTCTTCTGCGCCATGAGCAGGCCGTTCTTGAACCTCTCCAGACAGGCGTATGTGATGCCGGCGGCGCCGCGGCTGATCCACGAAGGCGGGACGGAGTCGAATTTCGGGACGTAGCTCCTAAAGGACCAAAAGGTTTCCATGATGACGCTGCCGCGGTACCAAATGTCCTGTTCCTTGACGGAGCAGCGCATGATGGCGGAGTAGGCCTGCTGGGCGAGGAGGTTGGCTTCCTCGGGGGCGAGGTCGGGGCCCCAGGCGGAGTGGAGGAGGTAGACGATTGTGTTTGCGGCGTCGGTGAGGGCGCGGCACAGGATGCCGGGGCAGTGGGAGATGAACTTGGAGCGGGAGTCGAGGTCGAGGGCGGTGAGGATGAGGGAGCGGGCGGTGGTGAATGCCTTGAGGGTGTTGACGCGGAGGGTTGGGTTGGAGGAGGGAGAGGGGGGGGATGCGGTTGGGGGGTTTACGACGGCGGTGTTTGCGTTGATGATGAGGTTGTTGTTTGTGGGGGTGATGGAGGAGGGGGACATGAAGTAGAAGAGCTGGATTTCGAGGAGGGCTGCGAGTTTGAGGATGCGGGAGATTTCTGTTAGACATGAGTGTGTGAGTTATATATATTCATGAGAGAGAGGGGGGAGGGGTTACTGAGATTTGACCTTACCTGTGTCGAAGCGTATGAGGAGCGGCTTGAGCACTTCGTACTCGTTTTCCCAGGCTGCGACGGCGCTGTCAGGGACGCTGCCTTCCGTCGAGGTTTGGGCGTGCATGGACATGTGGAAGCGGTTGAGGAAGCGTTGCAGTTCGTAGGTGGTGAGGAGATCGGCCCAGTAGGTTGATTCGAGGGCGGCTTTGCAGCGGGCGTCGCCGTGTTGGATAAAGGGGGGCGGATGGCCTGCGCATGCCGATGTCCTGTTGAGTGGTTATTTAGCAAGATTTGTGCTACGATGGAAAGAATTTCGAAATACAGACATACCTTTGTGAGATCAAGCAGCACGCTATCCATGTGGACGATGCCTCCTCGTCAGTAGACGTGTAGCCGTGTCGGCTGCCCACGCAAAACTGAGGATGTGAGCCTCGGCCGGTGTGAAGGCCAAGAGACACGCAGGCGTTCATGGCAATGCCCGCAAACATGGAGGAAGGGTCGGTGACGAAGCGGATCGTCGGATAAGGCCACGCGCAGACGAGGAGGATGGTGTGGATTTCGTCGAGACCTAGCACCGCGCTCGCTATCATTGTCCACAGATTCTTGGTCATGTGCTCGACGAGGGCGCCGAAGAGCTGGTTGTCCTTGGCATATCGCCTGCTTGTCACGTATAGGACGGCCCAGAAGAGCATTGGTTGAGCAGCGTAGCATTCATCGGGCTCTTTCTTGCGGAGAATGGGGAGGAAGGGGTGGAAGTGCTGTAAGAACCTGGTGTTATTTTTTCACGAGTTTAGCCTTTCAATCCATCTTTTTTTTTTTGGGGGGGGGGGGGGGGGTAACGTAGAGAAGGTTGTGGTCTCTATTCACTTGCTAAAGTAGTAGTCGATGTCTTGACCAGATATCAGGATGGAACCCAGGACGCGAGCCTCGGTAGGCCCGACCTTCTTTTGCTGCTTCTTCTCGGGGGGTCGCGCTGACGGCACGGCGAGTTGGATAGGCAGGGGAGGTCGTGTTTTCTGGGCTGCTGCGGACGGTGTCTGGTCTGTTGAGGTTGCGGAGAAGGCTGTGAGGGGACTTGGAGGTGACCAAGCAGATTCGCTGCCGGAGGGTTTGGTGTTGACGACCTTTTGGATGCTTCTTAGTTCCTGTTCAAGCTGCTCCAGCTTGCTGCATGAAGGTTGGAATTTGTCAGTGGTTTTCATCAACTAGAGCAAAGACGAGCTGAATGCGTAACTGCTCATGAGAGACAATGAGAAGAGGAACCATGTATACCTTCGCTTTGTGACTCTTTTATGAGACTTGTCTACGACACATGAGATTTGCAGCTTGGCGCATCTCTGACATGGCTGGCCGGGGACTTGGCTCGTCTTGCAGCGGACCTTTTTTTTTTTAAATGTCAGCCCTTTCACATTCTTTGTATTTTTCAAAAGATGGTACCAAAACTGAAAACGAGAGATGGTAAAATAAAAAGCAAAAATACATCAATAACGGCAAAATGCGCTACTCACCTTTGAGTTGCGACAGTTGACACACGCCACATTGCGCCTGGTCCTCTCATCGTGGCTCGGCGAATCTGCTGACGGCGGCGTTGGCGCCATCGAGCCCAAGAAGCTTCTGTTTCTTCCCTCTCTCAAAAACGCTGGTTTTCAGGGGCAATTCCCCGTGCCAAGTTGGTTTTTTCGGGCCCAAGTCCGGCGGGTTTCCTTGCTTTTGCTTTTGCTTTGCTTTGCTTCTTGTCGTTTGCCAAGCCGGGAATCGAGACTCGAAAGGGCGCCTGTGAGAATGAGTTGGACGAGGCCTTGTCACGTTAATGTCACGGCTGGCGCTCTTTCGCTTCCGGCATTAGATTCGACGATCCGGAACAAGCTCCCCGTTGCAACTTTTGTTTTTCCTTTCCGGCTCCCGTAGATGACGGTGGCATCGTTGAATCCATCGGGGGTTTTGCAGGGCTTCGACTTGACTGGACATGAACATGCCGGAGCCGGGCTTCTGTTAAACCCGATTACCGGCCGGGAAGGCGTCACGTGGTCTTGATGACAGCATCGGTTCCATGTCGATGTTCTTCAACTCTTGCTGAATCACGAGATGATGCAAGTAAAGCGTTTCTCATTCCTCTATTGTATCCATATCCAAACCTACGTGGCTCTACTTCGTCCAATATCCCATCCAAGATCCGTTCCCAGAGTCTCCAACCACCCCTGTTATAACTTGAAAATCCGTACCGCCATGCGTGTAACCCAATCAATCAACGCTGCGTCTCCTATTTCTCCTTTTTGTCTTTATCCTCCGTCGCCTTGACTGTTCCATGTCCCGACTTTGCATATCCCCCCATCAGCTTCATTAGGACCCAGACGAAGCCCAGGCCTACGGCAGCCGCTGTTCCAATTCCCACCCATTGAGACACTCCCTCCCTCACCACGGGGACGCTGATGTTGTTGATGAGACGGCCATCAGCCGCTGGCTTAGGGCTCACATGCCAAAATGTAGTGCCCGGTTCGAACAGGCCGTCATACCCCAGGTTGATACGGTCAAATGGGTTGATAGCATAGCCGATGTCTGGATCGCCACTGCACGCCCAGAACACTGCAGGGTAAGGAATCCCCGCCTCTTCCTTGCCTGTCGGGGAGGGTTTGAGATATCGTAGATGAAGCGGCACCTCGACGGTCCAGTTCTTAGTTGAAGTCTTGTCCTTTGGAGGTGCCAATTCAAGAAGCACATTGGATCCCCACTCCTTGGTTGTGTATGCGGGAGCCTCGAGGTCCACCGGCTCACTCACGTACTTTGCGGCTGCCAAGTTTTTAGACGCAAGGAATAGCTCATCCGCCAACTGGTACCTGTCCGCAAAGATGACCTTTGGAAAAGTAAAGTATGCGTATGGAGCGCACTCGGCGCCGTCGTCAAGGGGAGGTGCTGTCGTACTGAGACTCAGCTGTAGAGTGGGGTGTAGACCTGTGGGTTGCTGAAACTTGGATTTGAAAGACCCCGACGCAGCTCTGTGTCGCGCTGCAAAGGCAAACATGGTTGGTGATGGCTCCTTTGCCTCCCCGACGACTGCTAAAATGCCTGAGACGCCGATTTCATGGGCCTCCATGCCCGTCACGGCACCTTTGCGTAGAATGCCGACTTCGGTGCGGCCCTTGGGTGACGCAGGCACGGATATCTCCCGCTCCTGGAGAGGCCATAGGGCCTGAATCTTGACAGACTCCGAGATGGAATCGTAAGACATGTCCAAGCTGACGGCGTCCTTGAGATCTTGCAGCCGTTTCCTGCATTCGGCGGCAGTTGGTCCTGAGCATACAACCGGACCGAGCCTCTTTGCAAACCCGTCCAGTTTCTCCAACTCATTGTAGAAGAATAGTTCTGGAGAGCCTGCCTGACGCTCATTGCTGAGGTTGATGAATACCTGTAAAAGTGGTCAGATGAGGGTTTCCTTTTTGAATACATGTGTAGATAAATCTCACATCTGGAGATGAACAGTCTAGCCGCCCAAACGCCTGAAGAGCCGTGCACAGCTTTTCCCTGCTCCAACTGTCAACCATTGAGTCTCCAACACAAACAAAAAGGGCTAAACAAACGGGTCGTGATCCTCCTTGATAGGAGTATATGATACGTGAAGGCCGGGGGAGATGCGAGAGATGAAGGGCTCCAGAGTGCTATAGCTCGCCGACGTTGCCCATTTCAGATGCAGCTGGTCGAGATCGCGGAGAAGGCCGGCGATTTCAGAGGGAAGCTCCGGCAACGTCAGCGTGACTTTGTGCTCCCGCAGCGCCTCCACCGGCGGGCCTTGGACTTGCGCGTCGTTGATGTCCAGCTGGTTGGGGTCCAAGTCAGCATCTTGCGGGCTGAAGTATGTGATTCTCTCTCTCATGATGGATGGCTGAAAGAGACGGGACAAGCTGGGCGAAGATTGCAGTGAGTAACAGGTAGGGCGTGACGGTGGTCTTTTCGAAATTAAATATACAAATACACGCTATGCTTGTACTTGTGCTGCGATATCAAGGGCGGGATCCAAGAGTCGGCTGCTGATGTTTATACTAACGATGGACGTTGCAATGTTCAATCTTCTTTGTTGTGATATGACGACAGCAGATAGAATGATCCGGCTGAGGTGTCCACTAAATCTACATACAATGCCGCCTTTAGTGGTCCAGGCACCTCCACAGCCGCTATAGGGGATTGACCCCACTAGCTTAAGGGGGGGCTCATTTAGCCTGCAAGATTAGGGGACACCCATATGTACACCTCAGTTATATATAAAGTGCCTCCTTTACTCCGTAGACGCTGCTTTCTTTTCGTGAAATGAATCAATTGACGTTTCAACTAATCAACTGCCCATTATCACACGTTGGCGAGGCCAATTGATGAGGCTTCAAGCTGCGAGCATGACATCTGCTCATGGCTACGATGGCTGAAAGAGGCGTCAATGGCCAACAACTATATCCACAACGAATGAGACAAAAAGTGCATCGTACATGTGATTTCTATTATTAAATCCAACATGTTATCAAATAGGATTCATGGAAGAAAAGTCAGTCCGGAAATCTCCAAACCTCCAAGCCATGGCTGTCGTAAGCTCCCGTCTCGTAAACACACGGCAAGCCTCCTATCCGCCTCCGGTCGTGTACTGTACCCTATACATGCCATTGTATACATGCTTTATACGCATCCCATCGTATATTCATACCCACAACTTATACGCATCTAGTCGTATACTCGTATTTTGTACGGAGCAATAATAGATCCAAATCCTTCGACTCAGCCTTCAATATTTAGATCCCGTGCATCTAAAATCGCTGCTTAGCTTCATAAAGCGCGATCGGCACGCCTTGTCCTGGGCATCCCACGATATCCGCCTTGAGATACTGTGCCGCCCAGTCTCCCCTATACTCGATCCTTTCGTACCGCTGCAAAAGACGGACCACTAATGTAGTCATCGTTTAGTAAAAATGAGTGGGAAATCAGGCCAGGACTCAAAACGTGTACGTGGACATGTACTGCATTCTCTCACCACTACGGCATCCCGATGAAGGATAAAACTCACGTGTGAATGCCATCTCCGTCATGGCAAAGTTCTGTCCAATGCAGATTCTGGGCCCGCCGTTGAATGGCACAAACTGCCACGGCTTGGGCGTCCAGTGCTCCCATCGCTCGGGGCTATAAATCGCCGGGTCGGCAAACTCGTCAGACACCGGAGGATAGAAATCCTTGACGCGCTGCATGGCGAGGGTGCTGTAGAGGATGTGGTCTCCTTTGAGGGTTGCAATGTCGGGTTGGCCTGGTTTGCCTGGCAGAGTCGAGTCTTCAACTGTTGTTGGATTGAGTCAGTATCTCTCTTTGTGGCTGTGCGAGAATGTATGCGTGGAGATGCTCACGGCATGACCTGACGTTGAATGGGACTGCAGGATACAGTCTCAATGTCTCGTACAGCGCATGGGTAAGACACGTCAAATCTTTAAGATCCTCGTATGTTGGTGCTGCCTCGGGCCCGACTGTCTCGAGAACGCGGCTTCGCAACCTGCGCCAAATCTCAGGGTAGTTGGATAATTCGTAAATTGTCCAAGACAGAGTCGCTGCCGTTGTGTCTCGTCCCGCCAACAGCACAGCCATGATCTGGTCCCGAATAACCTTTGGATCGCGTGAAAAGAGAGCCATGTTGTGCAGAAATGTGAATTCCTTGTCCGACTTGGATATCGACTCCAGCTGTTCCGGCGTGAGGGTCAAGGTTGCATCAATAAAGGGCTGTATAAATTCTTCGAGGACCTTAATGCCCTTGTAGTATTCAGCTTTGGGGATGAAGCGTCGGAAGGGTCTATGAAACTCGTTGAGCAAGGATAGAGTCATAAGAATCCGAGCAAGGCACTTACGCGAGTATAGCGAGAAGCATCTGAGTGTGCTGGACCTTCGTAAACGCAGTAGTAAATTTCCCATTGGGGCTGTCATCGTGTCAGCTAATTGTGCAGTTGTAAAGCTGCATTTGTAAAAGAACCATCTATAAGGGTGCATAACTCACTTGTCCAAACTGTCGACGCTCTGGCCCAACAAATAATCGGTAATAGCATCCAGTGTCATGCGATAAAACAAATCACAAATATCAGCCGTCTGTCCCGAGGGCGGCAGCTTCGAAATCAGCACATCGTTCCATCTTTCAAGAATGTCCAGATCCCTAATCTTCTGCTTGATAAACATTGGCCGGATCAGATTCCGGCTCAGCTGCCACGACTGCCCGTCTGTCGTAAAGATGCTGTCGCCAAGAAACGGCTCCCAAGTCCGGTGGAACATCTCACCCTTGCCAAAATGCGTAAAGTTGGTCGTGAGCAGTCCTTTGATGTGCTCGGGATCAATGGTCAAGATGGAGCGGCGGCCGAAGATGGTCATTTCGACGGCGTGGGGGCACGTCGGATCTGCGTCTTTGAACATTTCGAGAAAGTTTTCGAGCATTCGGTTGTTGGCGTGCATGTAACCGGCCTTGAAGAAGTGGTAAAATGCTGATGTCCGGGTTAGTGTCTGTTATGCTGCCAGATCCTTGGGTCACATATGTAGTGTTGAGGCATCTGTATTCATACCGGTAACCGGGTTACCGGCGAGGTTGGAGGCTCGGACTCCATTGACTTTACTCAGCCGGTAATTGACAACCAGCCGCTCGATGATCCCAAGAGAAACGATGAGGCATGGTACAATTATGAGCAGCGACCACGCCTGTGCGGGAACCTGTGCCTGTAGACTCTGCAACATGGCGATCTTGGATCGATGTAGTTCTATGAAATGTGAAATGGAGATTCAGCAACAAGTAAAGTAGAATCATTGGAGCATCACCAAAAACGCGTACATACAGGGCCCTCCCTATATGGATATCGGAAAGCAATTGAATGCTAAAGCAAAAAAACATGAGATTTTGTCTTTGATCCCCCTGTCGAATCTAAAGCCCCGCACGAGACTAGGTTCAGGTAGATTGACCACAGGCCTCCCAATTAGCACATGCGATGGGATCCTTGGTCCGTCCGTTGCGAGCGATGGAAGCTCAAAGGATTGCGTATGTCACAATTCAGTTGGTGGCTAGCGCGTTGCCGCAAAGATGGTTCATTCCTGTTTCGAAATGGTCTTGTGGAGATGGAAACGATGAAGAATCGACAACGCCGATGATGCCAAGTTTTGTCTGATGGAACCATTAACTGAAGAAATAGATTGCTATCGCATATACCTGTGCATATTGCAAGTTTCAGAGTGCCTATATGCATATAAGTAGAGAGAACGTGAGGTAGTCCACATCCCGCGGGATCCGGATTGCCTGGCCTCTTTCAGCATTCCCAACGCAAAAACACAGAATTGATTCGTCATAAGCTAGGTGAAGTGATCCAAATGGTCCTTGAATCATCAAACCACCATCTCATCTCTGATCTAGACTGCATGGTGATTGTCTGCCAGCCTGCATCATCACCAAGAAGGACATCCCGATCCACGTCCTGTGTCGCACATTCAACAGCAAGCCCACCAGCCTCATGACTGATTTTATAATGAATAGATGTCGGGAGTATTGCAACCTGCACGTCAATCTCCGGTCCTCGCCGGCAAACTCCTGCGGCCGCCATTGTTCCGTCTTCATACTGAAGCATCATTCCCTTACACAGACGGTCTTTTCTCGGGGTCCCTTCAGGAACCTGCCGCCGGAAAAGCCATATCCGTTGGACATTCTTCAATTCCACTATGGATACATAGGTGAAGCTCGAACTCCAGCTGAATCCCCGCGACTGAGTCAGTTGGGTTGGGACCATGGGCGAAATGTCCGTATCCCTGACTGAAGCTGAGACAGCTGCAAAGTAGCTTGTTCTTTGGAACGGGAAATCTGCATCTTGGAATAAGAGATGTGTGGCTGTATCGTTGCCACTTAATTGCTGAAACCCAACCTCTGGCCGATCCGGACACAAGTATTTGCCAAATAACTTGAATCTCCCCGTTGTCGTGATTATCTGGAGACGCGTTTAGTAAGTGATGATCACGCGTACCAAAGATGTGGTGAAGCAGCCTCATAGCAACATACAGCAAGAGTATCTGGAATACTGTAGTCATAAGGTTCGCACCTGCGGACCCAAATTGAACTAATTCTCTCCCCTTTGGCAAAGGGAAAGAAAATCGCAGCCATGGGGCTACTTTCTGCGAATGACGGTATTATCTGTGCTGCAGGAGGTGAGCTGTCATGCGGGTAAGGGTCAAAGAAACTCTCGTCACGGTGTGGGTAGATCCAGCGCACTGCTCCATGTTGGCAATATACAGTGAGGCCCGTGATATCTTGGAGGGAGATGCACCGGACACGCAGGTTACTCTCAATTTCACGATTCCAGCGGGTAAGAGCTGGATCGGGTGGAGTTGGCGTGTCCCATATATGGAATGATCGCAATTTGTGAATTCGCATAAACGTTCCCTTGGAAAATTAGACGGTTGATGCAGAATGCCGATCATCAACTAACCTTAATTTCAATGCGGGCCTCTCGCATCGTAGATGCTTCTTCAACAACATACCACACATTTTGAGAACGAGAAGCTGCGGCTGGTAGAGCAGAGGAGTCGTTTACAAAGTCCAGGCGTGATACACCAAGGTCATCCAGCTGAATCCTAATCTTGCCGCTTCCACCGCCGCCAGTCATCATCCCAGTATCCCGACACCAAGACTTGATGTCATCAAATGAAAACTCTTTGGTCTCAACGTCAGAATCTAATAGAGGCTGAAAATTGCGCCACCTGTTGAGTGCTGATATAAATCTCCAAGCGGGAGATTCAGGACAGAGCCGCACGATAATATCTCTCAATTCCTGAGGTATGCCGCAAACACGAGCGAGTATGGACTTATGATCCCCAATAAGAGCATCATTGGCTGCAACTCCAACGGTTACATGGGGTAGTGATTGATAGCGCGTCTTGGGTAGCGACTCTGTCCACAAGGCGATTGTCCAAATATCATGGAGACTCGGTCTTCTTGATGCAGCATTTTTGCTGATGATATGGAAGCAGTCTATATGATATAGGGACGTATCATGTAACGTTGCGCAGTTATAACAGTCGCTTCTGCGACAAAGCAGCCATTGGTGAGAGGTCGATTTGGCCTTCTCGTAGACTATAGTGTAATGTTCGAGTTGGGTGACTGTGGAGAAACAAAATCCAAGAGTATACGCAACATATGATGGTGAATCCCACTGTCCAATAACTAAGAAGAATAAAGTCAGACATACGGCTCAAAGTCCGAGGTAGTGCTCACGATGCGAGCTAAGACCCAAAGAGTCAATGTATCTCACCTGCGGCAATCGTCTCGCCAGGTCGAACTGAATAGCGACAGAATATGCAATATGGAGTCTGGAGTGGGATGTGATAGTCAAGTCCTAGCGGATGGGGGACGACCAGCATCTTGTAGATGGAGAATGCCGTGATCTTTATATCACAGTCTAATATGGCGTTCAAGACCACGCAGTTATAAGCTGTTGGAAGTCTCCAGGAAAAGCAGATTCAAAATCACCACCAAATCGCATCCATATAAGTCACAATTACAAGAAGAAAAACTTGGTGCCTAAGATGGAGTTGTTTATTGCGCGTCGTTGGCCTTGTGCGCGCAAGGCAGTTTGGCCATTCAGCTGTGGCATGTTAGGCTGACACCAGCGAGGGCTTCGCCACTAACACGGGCAATGCCAGGATACACAGCTGTCTGAGAGTAAATAACATGAGGCGTATTGAGTACCTTGATAATCTCTTAATCTCTCCATGAGACAGAAAAATGATCATGCCTTGGCGGCAGATTAATATTTATTTCGCATATCTTCCACCTTATTCGGTGGGCGACTTGTCCAGCGCTGAATGTCCATTCGCCTTCAAAATAGCGCCGTTTGCTAATTTTAACAGTTCTGCAACAAACTTGCCCGCCCGCTCATTGTGCTTGGTTTCGTAATCCGTGACGGTTTGAGTTCGTAGCCTATTGACTATCTTTGACGCCAAAGCGAGAGATGCTGTGTCTGCTGCTGCTTGAGCATCAACAGGGTGTATGAGTATATTAACGAATAACGACATTGCCGCTACAAGCGAGTAGATGACGGCATGCCTATCATGTATTTAGTATTTGTATTGCCTTAAATTCGGGCACGATTCTCAAACAAAGCGCGCACTAGTACTTACCAGAAGATATCTTGTTTGAGCATCACTATTGGCTCATTGAGTAAATTCAGAGTAGAGCGGCTGGCCTCCAGGGATAAGTCGATACTTGAATGCATCGCGCTGTGAAGGTCTTCGGGTGGACTAGTCTCTGCGCCTTGAGCAGCCCCAAATCGTCTGACTGGTGTATGAATAATGGTAAGAAGGTAGTGGTATTCCAACTGTAACTGGACCGATCTCAAATAACTCAGAAAGTTGGGAGTAGGTGGTACACCATGGCCTGGAAGAATTGATAGTTTGGGGCGAAGTGCTAAGGGAACAGACAAACGCCAGCCCTCAAGCTCGTCATCTAACTGGCGAATTCGAGTGAGCAGCTCACTATCGATGATTTTCAGTGCTGAAGGCGAGTAAAGCAGCCGGAATATTCTCTCCTTCAAAACTCCGAGGTGCGGGTCGCCTGGTAGAAATGGGATTGCTCTATTCCAAGCAACGGTGCCGATATTGTCGGTATCAGCGGCGGCCTTAGATGACTGTAGAAACACATTATGATTCAAGTATTCGTTGTCAAGCAATCCAAGATCACAGTACTCATTGGCGAGGATAGGAGGTAGGCCGGATAGGAGGGCGAGGTCCTTGTCTCGTATATAGCACAGCCAGAATAGTTTTCGCATATGGTCTCGTCGGCGACCCCGGCTGGAATTCTCACAATCCATCGGATGTTGTAAGTGCCCATCAAGCTCACATACCATTCGGCAAGCAGCTGAGTGCAGCGCTTCAGCACTGCTGTACTGGCCAATAGCCGTTCTATACGTGTGCTAATTCCAGGGTTTAGCTATTTCCCATCCCCCAATATTGGGCCGAGGAACAAATGGGGAGATTAGCTTACCAACAACATTAATGATTGGAGGGTAGGCAAATCTGCGGGCCCATTGAGAAGTCCTAGAAGCCACTGCGCCTTCGTTGCGCACATTTCGCTACTAAATGATGCAGAGAAATGTTCAGAGGCCCTCAAATGGGCCAAGACGGCAAAGGCCGCCCAAAGGCACGCTCGTGCTGCCACATGAGTATGAGAAGCGAGTGTCCCTTGAAAGAATTGGTAGGCTGTGTTTATCGTCTCTTCAAAAATCACTTGGTCAAGAAGAGGAAATAACATGAGAAAGTAAGAGCTTGAAAGAGAACCAAAAGACTTGTGTACCAAGTCTCTGTCAGGCAGATCCCATAGTTCTCCAATGGGGGCGTGTACCTGTAGAGCTGAGAAGCTCCAGCTCGGCTGGCCAGAACCAACTCCTGGCAAAAAAGGCTTCAACGTTGTCGTATCCTGATCAGTCCTGGAGGCAATCCAACCCAGTCCATTTTCGGAGATGATTGGCAATCCTCTGTGATACCAGTTCCGTCCAAAGAGACGAGCTATAAGAACAATGTGTGTATGAACACCATCATCGAAAGATGGACTGCATTGTCTTGCAAGGGCCGAAGCAGCGTTCGGTAATCTTAAGTCTCCATGACTCTGAGATGTTTCATCAGCTTGTGAATGCTGAGATGCTTTAGCCTGTGCGAGGGCATTCTCGAGATGTTTGATCCGATCCAGCAGTTTGTCTGTGTCTACGCGCTTAGTCCTTTAACGCATGTCAATAACGCCAAAACTCAATTATTCTTATTCAATTTTTCAAAGACCTTTTCACAGAAGATGTTCGCTTTTCTCTAGTAACTGTACACGCCAACTTCTGATGACTGCACCAGTTGCAGGGTAGGCTAGGACCAGGCCGGCAGCATTCTATCTAAAGAGACGGGAGCGAGTCAGAATGGCTAGATAATCCCCCTGGAGAAGTGACTTGCCTTTCTTTTGTAGCACACATCACAGGCCCTTATCGAGGGCATAGTTGACACAGTAGTCACTGGCAGGGGTACAATAGCCAGACTCTGACAGAAGAGAACGCCAGACCCAGCCAAAGTACTGACATTGACAAGAGAGGATTGAAAGTGAAGAGCGTTTGACTAATCGGCCAAGTTGTCATGTTATCCGATTACATAAAGTACCGCTAATCCTCTTTAGTTTCACCGTTTGCTTGAGGTCCTCCAACTGCCCAATCATATTACATCATTGCGTGGCCGCAACTTCATGTTTGGAATTTGGTCCTTGAAGCGTCGGACACAGGATGATCTCATGAGTCCGTGTCCATGCATCCGAGGGTGATTGTCAGTGTCAAAGCGTCTTCGTATAAATAAAGCATACTCCGCCCTCACAATCAATATACCTCCAGTCTCTATCATGTTAAGCTGCAGGTGTGTTTCTGTATCATCATCCACAATGACGGCTCCCATCATCTCTGCTCGTTGGACCAAGCTTGTGGCAGCCACTCGCCTCTGCCGTTCTTCGCATATCTTGTCAGCCAATGCTTCCAGAGTCTTCATCTTCGGCGGAGAACTCTTGCCCCGACAACCCGTAGACAACCATGTCGATCAAGTTGACATGGATGCCGAGTTGAAAGGTGTGTATTGTCAGCTCTGTCGCTCGTCCATTACAATCATTTGTCTGACTTGAGAACTGAAAGCCACAGTCAACACGTTGCCAGCACTAGACAATGCACCGTCAGCACGTGTTGGCTCAGCTAGTGTCACTGTCAATGGAAGCGTCTGGCTCTTCTCTGGGCGTGGAGGTCTAGCCATGGATCCGATTGAAGAAAATGGAAGCATCTGGCGATATGACGGCACAAGCTCCACTTGGCAGCGGATTCTCACCAAATCGGCAACCTATCCTACATCCCGCAGCTACCATGCAATGGCATTTGATGGTAAGAAAACCATCTATCTTCACGCAGGTTGCCCATCCCAAGGACGGCTCTCCGATCTGTGGGCCTTTGATACCGAGACTCTTGTATGGACTGAGCTTCCCTTGGCTCCTGGGCCTGCACGCGGGGGAACATCAATCGCATGTTGCCAAGGCCTCCTTTATCGAATGAATGGTTTCGACGGGAAATCGGAGCAAGGAGGCGAGCTTGACATTTACGATCCAGCCTCTCAAAAGTGGCATATTATTGCATTCCCCTCTGATGGCGTCCAAGGACCAGAGGCGCGCAGCGTAGCAACACTTCTAGCAGTCCGACTACCAAGCAATGAAGATGCTCTAATCACCATGTTTGGAGAGCGGGATCCTTCGTCTCTTGGGCATGCTGGAGCTGGAAAAATGCTGGATGACGTCTGGGCCTTCAATGTCAAGTCCTCGACATGGCGCAAATTCGCATTCCCCGAACAGAATGCCCCAGCAGCTCGAGGATGGTTTGCCGCAGATGTCATGAAGCAGCAAGGCGGGGATACGGTATTTGTTCAAGGGGGCCTTGCAGAAGACAACAGCAGATTGGGAGACGCATGGAGGCTGGACTTTTTGTAACGTAATAAATACTTCTCTATATATGCATCGTTCCCACCCAAGCTTGAATTTCACAAGTGTTGCGATATCCGTTTGAGTCAAGAAGCGATTGATCAGGCCACATTCCACCGGCGAGGCCATCTATTGGTAAGATCTGCCTTATGTAATCGGACAAGATGTTGTCCGTGGCGTTTTTAGCACCTTTTTTGACATGGAGCCGAAATGCTTGGCCAAATGGGCCATCTGACGGTGAGGCAAACTCAGACTCTGCATGTTAAACAGCCAGTGCTTTAGGCGTAAGGAATATATATAAATATGCACATGTATTGTATTTTTACCTTCTATAGTTTTCAATATGAGTCTATCTTCAATTCTTTCCAAATTCTGGCCGTCAAGTCTGCACAATGGCATCCGCTGACGAGCAAACGTCTTTGCTGGGCTTAGACGGCATCCAGCCAACCCACGAGCATGTCCCAGCTTCAGTCGCCCGTCGGCTCTACGCGTCACACTTCTTGTCCACCTGGAACTCTAGAGTTTTTGAGCTTGGTGCGGTGCTCTACCTAGCATCTGTTTTCCCCGGGACCTTGCTGCCAATGTCCCTTTACGCTCTTGTCCGGGGCCTTTCTGCAATTGTCTTTGCGCCGGCAGTTGGGTGGTACATTGATACGGGAAACCGACTCCAAGTCGTTCGCGTCTCCATTGGTAAGCTAAGATGAATCATTGTTAAAACAAACTCGCTTCCTAATAAGTAGCAGTTTTCCAGAGGCTTGTGGTTGCGGCATCTTGCGCCGTCTTTTATGTGTTAGCAGCTGATATACCACTCGCTTCTGGTGTAAGAGCAGGGCTGCTAGCAGTTGTCACGTTCTTTGCCTGCGTGGAGAAATTGTGCTCGATATTGAATCTAGTCTCTGTTGAAAAGGATTGGGTGAGACAGTTGATATTGCTCATTTATTTGTTCCCGGTTTGTGCTAATACATCTGGCTACCTGCTAGGTTGTGGTAGTATCAGAAAGAAACCCAGACGCCCTTCAGGTCATGAACGCTCAGATGCGGCGGATCGATCTGCTCTGCAAGCTGTTTGGGCCACTATTTATTGCCATGATAGACGCCCAATCTTCTCAGGTGGCCATGGTTGCCAATTTTGCCATGAATGCGGCAACTCTCCCCATCGAGTACTTTACCATCGCTCGAGTCTACTTTGACATTCCGGAGCTACAACGAGCCAAGATGCCATTGCAACGGAGTACTACACAACGAACAGAGTCATACAACGCCTCAATGACCTTTAACAGTGTAATCTGGCAGCCGCTGGTTGTCATGATCAAGAAGTCTGTACAGGATTTCTCACTGTACTTCAAGCACCAGGCATTCCTCCCCTCCATTGCGGGCGCAGTTCTATATCTCACAGTTCTCAGTTTTGGGGGCCAGATGGTTACCTACCTCCTCTCTTCAGGCTATTCCTCCATGCAGATCGGCATCGCTAGGACACTTGGCGTGATGTTTGAGGTCCTGTCCACATGGGCGGCACCTTGGCTGATGGGACGAATTGGGCCGGTAAGAGCGGGTCTCTGGATGAGCAGTTGGCAAGTCATCATGCTGGTTGTGGGAGTGTGTATCTTCTGCGTGTTTGATGGAAAGGATTCGCTCATCTCCGCAAGCGGGCTTGTTGGCGGCACGGTGTTGAGTCGGCTGGGACTGCGAGGGTTTGACTTGTGCGTCCAGCTCATTGTCCAAGAGGTGAGTCAAGGGCAACAACACATTGCCATTTCACAGTTTCACCATTCCTGAACAACATGAACTAACAACATCATCAGGAAGTCGAAGCCGAAAACCGCGGCGTCTTCTCTTCCGTCGAGGCCGCGTGGCAGAATGCCTTTGAGCTTCTCGCCTTTGCATCCACGATTGTCTTTTCCCGCCCCGAAGATTTCAAGTGGCCGTCGCTCATCTCGACCTTGACCGTTGCCTCGGCGAGTAGTGCTTATGCGACGTTTGTGTACCTGCGTAGAGGTCATCTGTTACACCTCGAGGCACTAACAAGCTTCCTATTCACCGAGAAGAGAAGACGGAGTGTGGATCGAATCACATCTAGACCGGAGATATAAGACTTGGCACCACCGAACAGGAGACGGGCCTGTTTTGGGTGTAGCGTACCGGTGTTGGTAGACGATTGGCGTTGTAAGTTGCGTACCTTGATATGAATCAAGCATGATGAGCTGCAGATCCTGTAGAAGATGCTTGTTCCCTGCAGGGAGAGCAGAATCGGTGGCCTGTTTGGGCAACCCTTGTGCGGAAGCCATCAGGAGGATCTTTTGCGGCTCGGGCAATTGGAGTTGGGGAACACAAGCAGGATTGCCTCGTTGGGTCACCGAGCATGAATCGTGCCCTGTATGTGGCTGGTGCGATCTGGACAGGCCTGGCTAGGTACCGATCTTTCTGCTGCGCGTGCTGCAGCATGTCCCTACAGGCTATCAGCATCTTGTGTTAGTGGCCTTGGGTGCTGCTGCTGCTGCTGCTGTGGCTGGTGCCGGCCGCTGAGGAGCTCTGTGCTGTAGGTACTGTAAACAGCTCCATCGCCAAAAAGTAGGGCGCTGTAAGTGCAACGTCGCTAAGCCGCTTTGGGGACCGAGTGGCTTGCGGCAAGGCCAGCACCTTGACTTGACACCTCACCGAAGGATCCACGTGCAACGGTCCTCACTCCACTTGGCCTTTGACATCAAAGTCTCTCTTCGCCAGCCTCGATTTACCTGCGCTGCTTGTTTCATCTTTTCCTCGGCCGCGATGCTCCTCTTCAGAGTCTCTCTCTCTCCATGCTAGTCCCTTCAACCGCCGTTCCTCAATTCTCGGAGTCCGCGATAATCATCCTCTAGTCGGATGCATGTGGGGTGAAGTTGGGGAAAGCGAAAGCCCACAGCTAGCTAGTCTCCGATCGCATGTTTGCTTCAGTCCCAGGCGATTCAGATACAGCCCGAGTGCTCGTGCAGCAGATAATGAGCGGCCAGCCGTACGTCACCATTCGCGGCCGCGAGGATGGAGTTGGTATAAGAAACGGCGCTCCCGTATGTTGGATCCTATTCTCCCTCCCTCTCCCCTGCTCTCTCTGTGGTGTTGATTTGAGCATGTATATGTGAATGCGAATGTGATTGCGAAAGAGCGAATAATGAGCTCACATCGACTGCGACAGGGCATGGCGCGAGATGTACATGCGCGGTCTGCAACCCACGACACCAGCCGCGCGAGCTTCCATGTGAAGCATATCGGCCAGTTTGCCAAGAGGCTCGAAGATGTACGCTTGACCCCTGCCCGTTCCTGTGTCGTTTGGTTTGGCGAGAGACAGTCTGACAGTGACCAAAGTCGGCGGCGCGGGCGTTTCCAAATCGAGGCCGGGCATCTCAGCGCTACAAAAATGTCCAGGCACTGCTTGTGCACTGGGGTTCCGACGATCTGTTTGTCCTTCCCGAGCTCGAGGATCTGGAGAAGTGCATGCGCGATGATTATGCGTTCGGAACCGACATCTTTTCCATCCCGTCGGAAAACTCCCATCTGGAGCTCATGATGAGAATTGGCCAACTGATCAAGGACCACGAATCGCCCGATACTCTTTTCATTCTTTACTACGGTGGCCATGCCCGGATTGACGAATCAAGGCAGAGCACGTGGTGTGCGTAAGTATTACCGCGACTTCTCTCCCTCATTCATTCATACAACTCTTGATTTCGGCGCAAGTGGAGAGACATTTTAACATGGGTTTAATAGCACGCGAGATCCCGACTCGCCTTGGCTACAGTGAGTAATTCTCCACTACTTCATCCAAAGAGGTACCTTTACTGATACTGACTGCCCAGATGGTCCGCAATTCAGACACTCCTGGAACGATCAAAATCCGACGTTCTCATCCTCTTAGACTGCTGCGCCGGAGCTGCCAGCGCAACATTCCCCACCGGCAACAGCATCACCGAGACCATCTCGGCGTCCAGTTGGGACGCCATCGCCCCCGACCCCGGGAGGTACTCATTCACAAACGCCCTCATCGAGGTCTTGCAGGAATGGCGACATCGAGTCTTCTCTGCCGCTATGCTCCACGCCGAGGTGCTCGCCCGCCTGAAGCATCCGAGGCCCATCACCATCAACGGCAAGCACTTCGAGGCCCGGTCCACACCTGTTCACTTTATGATGACGGCCAACCATAAAGCACCAAGCATCGAGTTGTCAAGGACAATGCCGGAGGAGAAGAGATCTCTTTCACTTCCTACTATCCCCTCTCACCATGATCTCGAGCCCATGGGAGGCCCTGTCGGTGACCTGACACCACCCATGGTCACGGCTGGTGGACGGGCGGCTAGTCCTGCAGATGCCCTAGTCGGAAACGTCGTTCCCAATGAGCCTACCGAGGACACTCCTCATGTGATGATATCATTGGCATTGGAGGATGATCAAAGACTGGACATCAATGCTTGGGAACAGTGGCTAAACGCCTTCCCCGCCATGGCCCGATATGTCAAGATCCAAGGTGTTTTCAAAAGCCACTCCACCTTGGTCTTGGTCTCCATGCCTGTCATGATTTGGGATCTGCTACCGGAGGACCCGGCTACCTCCTTCGTCGCCTTTATTCGCTCCAACAACATAGCAGCTCAGAAGCCACAGCCGTCTCCAGTTACAACTCCCGTCCCGGCAGCACGGTTTCAGTCGGAGACGGTAGGGCCGGATTCAGCCTCTTTCATATCTGGTGTCTCTGGCACCACCTTTGCGCCGACTTTCAGAAGCTCGTTTAGCTTCAACAATGCCGCCCGAGATGCGAGATCGGCTCGCAATGCAGCTCCGTCCAGTCAGCCCGGAACACCACAGCCAGGACCAGTTCTCTCGTCATCTCCGTCAAGCCGACAACTACCGTTTTCCAGATCCATGAGCTCCGCAACCTCTCTTCCTGCCACATATGCAAATCCATCTTCTCTCAGCACCAGCCCTGTGATATCCAGGCAAATGATACTCAACCAACAACAGACCCAAAGGCGCACTACGTTTGGCGGTACCGATGTTCCGGAGCCCCAAAACTTCTCTGCACACGTGGAAAAGCGCCTGGAGGAATATTACCAGAAACAGCCCCTGCCAAATGATGGCGAGAGTGCCTTCCTCGCTTCCAATCTCGGGATAGAGCCTTTCCACCTCGGCCTGTGGTTCCACCACCGGCGCGAACGAGACTTGGTCACAGACAGGCTGGCCACGATGAAGGTTGGCAACATGCCATTTAATGAGGAAGGGGGTCCGCTGTTGATCTTGCCCGCAGATCTCAGCCGGCTGCTCGAAATATCACAGCCTGGACAAACTCTCTTGTTTGATATCCGATCGCCCTCGGATTACCAAAGATCGCACATCCGCGATGCCATAAACCTTCGAGTACCTCAAAATTTCATCAAAGACGCTTCACCCGAAATGATTGGCCGTACTATTTCAGAAGAGCATGGTCATGAGACCTTTTCCAAATGGAAAGAAGCAAGATGCATAGTGTTTTACTCTCGCGGACTAGAGAGTTCATGGGAGTGCCCCTCGGCAACATCCATACTACACAAACTCTCCGAGTTCGGATGGACAGGAAGAAGTTTTGTTCTCAAAGGCCACTACCGCGAGTTTAGTGCATCCTTTGGGCAGTACATTGTGGACAGCAAGAAGAATCTTGAGGCTGGCAGCGCCGAGCAGCAAAGCGGAGAGCCGTTCAACGAAACCGCTGTCGACCCAGCACAAGACTATGAGCATTATACGCAATGGCTTGCTCATGTAGAAGCAGAGGATCGATCGCGTACGAATGCATCCTCCCCGACGCGGGCCACTGAGAGGACAGAATTCGTCGAGAGCCAGGAGCATGAGTTGGAAGCAGAACTAATGGCTCGATGTGGCGAGTTGTATCGAAAAATCCAAGATGTTCAGGCCGGCAGGGACCCATCGTGGAACGATAACTTTGACTTGAAAGCACCAATGGTCGAATATCTTGACCGCGGTCTTAACAGAATGCGCGCACACCAACCCTCACCACAGCAAATGCCGACCGGTTCCAAGCTGGCTGCTGAGGGCTACTTTGATCCACCACCTCCTCCAGAGCTGGAGGATGGTGATGACTATGTTGAGATTACCAAGGGTAGCGGCTCTACCGGCGTCGCACGATCTGGGACTCAGCTCTCGGCAGAAAGGGGCAGTCCTGGAGATGAGCCTCTGCGCAGAGGCCGTGGAGGTGGTTTACTAAACAAGGTGTTTCGGCGGGCATAAAGCATGGGGCATGGGATGAGTATATGAAGAGGTCACGGATTTCTGGCATTAATGTGCTCGGGTAGCACTTCAAGGTGTTTTTTGGGGTATGATGATACCACGGATGTACGCTTGGATATAAAATCAGCGGCGTTGGGTTGCCGTGAAATATACATGCATTCCTTTCCACTTTTGTGAATTGAGGTGTTTTGTTAGCCTTTTGACTTGGAAGTGATGGCAGTTAGAGACCAATTTATTCGGTCAATGAGAGGCGCAGTTATTTTAGAAACCTCGTGTATTGGTTTGGTTTGCAACAGAATAGTCTTATAGCATGATGTTTGTCCATCATTGCAGACATCTATAGCCACCTACCATATTCCGATGTTGTTTTCTTCTCCTCAGTACCTAAGCTATATTTGAGACCTGAAAAGTCAAGCGCTTCATCATATGTTACACTCGATGGTGCTCTAAAAAGGTCGCCCTTTCATAGAACACCTTGTATATGTAGCATGATATAGGCTAGGAATTCAGAGAGAACCATGGATACTACCCTCGATGATCATGCGCTTTTCTAACTCTAGCTTCTTTTTTACTCTATATAGTGTGGTTTATTAAAGAAAAAGTGATATAACCTAGAACCACTACCAGCGCTGTTGATGAAAGTCACTTACTCGATCGTTTATCAACAGCTCAATAACTAAGTCTATTTCTGTTCATAGGATTCATTGATGCTTTTCATCTCTTGTATGGAATTCATATATTTTAGGACGATAATTACTCCAAACTTTTCTTCTCGTCGGTATCTTATTACCTTTTTTTGTGCAGATACGCGTCAGCTTACGCCCCTACTAATCACGACAAGAACGTC